GCCGTCTATTTTCTAACCAGCAAAAGTCTTCTGCTTACGTTTGGCCGACCCTTGAATATTCTTGGCTCGGATGCTTAAACCTTAATCAACAAGAGCAACTTTCGTATTACAACAACATCACTATACCGATATCTCAAGTTATCACACATTACTGCGTAAAAAAATTAAAATACATAACAATGTGTGATTGTTTTAATAACATTCACTATATATGTAAATTTCAGACGTTTGCAAATACTAATTTGAACTTTAATCAGTGTTCTAAGTTGTTGTAAAGTTGAGATTCTACTACAAAATCAATTGGTAATATAGGAAGTAGTCCAACCTCTTATAAGTCTTTGCATGGTTGGACTTGGTCCCGTGCTGATGTGGGATTTTATCTTCACATTCTCACACGCATCTTCATATATGGCAAAATTTCAAGCCTAACACATAGACAACAAGCACGGGAGGAAGGGAGTGACATAGAGCACGTGTGACCGTTGAGTTTCACATATGGAAGAATCTGCTCTCATACCATGAAAAAAGTTAAGGCATCATATATAAAACCAATTGGCAATATGGAGAGTAATCAGCAATGTGAGATTTATTCTCAACACGCTCTTAATATGTGACGAATTTTTAAACCTAACATGTGAATAACACAACTTAAGTAATGTGAAATACATGTGACAGTTGGACTTCGTATTAAATACGGTGGATTGTTGTAGACAGCCATACTATAGTTTCATAACATATGCTATGAGAGAGGTTGGTTGAAACTCGAAAGAGACAGTGAACTTGTTTGCTTGCATGCAACAACTTTCAGAAAAAAACTGGGACATAAAGAATAATAAGGCCACTACTTGAATTGTTTGTGGATAAGAGTTTTAAAAGGAAAAGATTTTCTGATCATCTGCAGTGCCGATGCCATATTGGAGAACAATGCTCCCATCATGTTTTTGGATTTCTTTCTTTCTTTCCCGGTGTCCCGAAGAGGAGCACGTACGTCTACAATAACATTAATACATAATATATATATCTATATATATATGTATATATATGCAAACAACTGGTAGATATTTGATGGAACAGTAGGGAAAAGATAGAATGGATGAGATTTGTAGGCCAGCAAGTTGGCAACTTGAGCCAGAAAGTAGCCAAATATATATATATTGTGATGCGAAGTGGTCAACGACTCAAAGGGAGAGGAATATTACTCATGGTGCATGCAAATCCTCACTTAACTACAAACAAAATAATATGATACAACGAATGACTTCTTACACACAACGAGCTATTTCTTTTTGCATTTGTAAATTATAGTCTCACACGTTTTTCACATCGACAGAATGACAGAGAGAAAAAGAGTTGAAATGACTTCAACTACTGCCGAAGCTTTTTATGATAAAATTTCACATCAATCGAACTCTCCAAGTGACACTTAACAAGTTGGAGACAATGGTGTCACTAAAAGGATATTTGATCTGTCTCTCTGATAATTTGACATGAATTTGATGGTAACTCACAAAAATCACAATATATAAGAAAGCATACATGTTCTGTAGAGAGGTCAACGACTCAAACGCTAGTGAATTAGTAGGCGCCTTTCAATTCATACTGAATCCAAAAATGCGTTATTAATCACTAGGTTTGTCTCCTGTCTGAAGGTAGCCATCGGTCGATAATAATTTAGAATGGTTGTCCTTCTTGTTGCAGATTAATCCACGCAATATGTTCAAGGAGGAGGATTTAATTAATTAAGAGATTTATTGTCTTAAGAGATGTACCCAATGGCTACTTATCCAAGCTCCAAACCACAAAATCCAACCAAGGGTTCAACACTATTATTTCTTGATATTCATTCGTCAGGAGATTATTTCGCAATTTATTTTCATTCCAAATTGAGTTTAATTGAATAGAAAATTAGAAATCAATTGGTTATGTTTAAATTGAGAAATTTCTCAATGTGACCAGAATACGGGATGGTACAGTACATGTTATCATATAATTTGTGAAATTTTTTTTTTCATGTGCCCCTCTAATTATATAATTACCCATGGTGTACCACCCCACGACTGCACGCTAAAAAATCTCTCATCTAAATCGCCCTTCTTTTATAAAAAAGACAATGAGGAGACAGCTTGGTATTAATTAATCTTAAGCTTTTGAAGTTGTCTACTAATTGTATCCAAACAAGCCGAAACTGAGATTGATGAACCACTAAACCACCATCTAATTAAGCCTCAAATGATTAATACATCTGCGTGGATTTGCGTGTAAAACAGAACTAATATACTCATTATTCTATAAACCACCCAGAGTTTCAGAAGTACTTCACCAATTAATAATGAGTAATTTCGTGCAAGACTACTAACTTAATCTTAATTAAGTGATCCTAATTAATTAAGTTATTTGGAACAAATTAAGGCGCAATGCAAGGGGAGACGCAAAGGGTGCCTTGTGATATGGAATGTATTGTACATTTAATTTCCCAATCGATATATGCATGAACACAATTATGAGAGATTTTTCAATGTAATCGGAACATGAAATGGTATACCACGTGTCATTTTACAAATAATGAGATATGTGTGTTAAAAAGTTAATAACTTAAAAGATAAAATTTATTACCACTTATATAAAAACACATGATGTACTTTTTTTCGTGTTCCGGTCACAATGAAAAAATTCTCCACAATTACAAGTTAAAATTAATTAAAATATTAGTAACAAGCTTTGTTAGACATTGATTGGTCGATTAATCGCGTCCTTGGAGGGTGTTATGCAGTAAAGCACATGGATTAACAAAGTGTTTTTTTATCTTCATCTGCTGAGGTCTAGTACTCTTATTCCAGCTCTTCAATATATTATTCTTCCAAATCAAGGTAATTGAAAAGGGCTGTAGATTAAAACATTTAATTATTTCTGCAATTTTCTTTTTGGGTAAAGAACTCCCTTTGACTGTGTAAAAGAGTAATGTTAATGCATGTTACATGCCTATATATTTCTTTGGAATGCACGTCATATTTTATGTACCATATTTGTACTACATTTTTAATCGAGGTAAAAGTCATCAACACATGAGATCTCATCGTTATTAGAGAGACGGTACATATGTCGTATGAAAAATGTGTAAGAGTTGCATTTTTGTGGATTATTAGTAAAGTTTACGTTAAGGATAAAGGTAATGGACAAAATTTATAGACAAAATTTGCAAACCAAATAATATATCACCAATAGAAAATGAGCATGCTTATCAACGCTTAAGTAATAATCTAGTCATCAACTTCTATGTCACTTAATTTGCAAAATTTTGCCTACAAATTTAGTCTTCCTAACATTAGCCTTAGGTTTATGAGTTATTTTGAAGGAAAGGGATCTGTAGAGGATCATTTCCACCTAATCCTCCTCATCAAACAATCCGGACCCTTGAAATTTGATCTAACAGCTAAAGTTATTATAACTTTTAAAGTGGGCCCGTATTTTTAACCGTTGGATCAAATTTCAAGAATCCGGATTGTTTGATGAGAAGGATTAAGTGGAAAGGATCCAGAAAGGATCCCTTTCCTATTTTGAAATATTAGCCTTTTTGAGTTTTATGGTTTTCGCTAAAAAATTTGGTGACGTGGGGTTTATTAAAAAAAAAAAATTAGGGCATTTTTATTACGAATTGAATTTTTATTTGATTGGAATTATTAACCGATTAAATAGTGATTGATTTTGTAAATTATTTTGCACTGCCCTTGATTGAAACGTCATAAAATTTATATGATTTTGGATCCCACTTGAGGAAGTGTCTCAACTACCTGGTCGTATAAATAAATAAAATGATGACATCTTGATTAGATTGATCACAAAAAAACTCACATCAACAAACGTTACTTAGAGCGGAAAATATCTAACAAGCCATGCAACTAATTAATACTATTTTTAAGAATATATATATTTACCCAAAATCACACGAGTCATCGTCTACTTCATCCATACAATACAAAAAAGGAAGTGTTATTGGCATTTCAAAAATCTTATTATACATTCCTCACAAGTGTATTTTTCTTTCCTAATATAGAAAGTTTGGAGTGTAGAATGAGATTTTTGGAGTGCTAATAACAATTCCCTACAGAAAAACCATTCTATATAACAAGAGTAATGCTAAGGAGGTTATGATAAAGTTTATGAAAAAATGATGCAAGTGTTGTGTCCTCTTAAGTGATATCTTTTCGTTTGATTAGATGTAGTTATGTGAATTTGTAAACATGGAATTGTTTTTCTAATCAATAGTGTTGTTCATTTTATTTTAGGCCAAATTAGATTAATAATTTATTCGGTAAAAAATTAAGATTTAAACCTTTGTGTTAAAGATTATTAACAAATTTAACCAAAAAGGTTAATTATCAATTAAATGTAGGGATATAAATGTCCGACCATACTCTTTCGCCTGCTTCTCTCTTTCTCTCTCTCACTGTAATTGTACCTCCTCTCAGCCATCTACATACAAATGCATCCTCTACACATCTCTCAAAAACCCTAACCCTAAACCCAAAGATTCTTAAGGACTCCGAATTTGGGGGAAGTGGTTGGGAGGGGAAGCCTATGATTTAACGAAAATTGGAAGCGAAAGGTATGGGGGGAAGAAGGTGCGCGGGATAATTAAGGGGTGGGGCGTAGGTGAAGAGGGGAGACCTAAGGATAGAGAAAAGTGATGGGAAGGGGGTTGTGTTCGGCGGTGGAGGAACAGGTACGGCCTCGTCTTCGGCTGTCTTGTGGGGAGAAGATGGTGTGGGGAAGCCTTTTGTTGGGTGTCACCCTCCAAGTCTCTTTCTTCCTTTTTTTTTTTCGTTGTTTTTTCCACTAAGAAATTAGGTAAATGTTTCTTCTAAGATGGAAAACGTTACAAGTCTACGGTGGAGGAGGAGGGGACGGTGGGAGAAGAGGCCGCCGGAGGGGAGGTATAATTACACAGACAGAAAGAGAGGGAGAGGAAGTTGGAGCTGCTGCAATCACATTGCTAATCAATCTATTTTTTTTAATAGTTGCTAATCAATCTTTTAATCAACGTACCAAAACACGTCTGAACGACTTAAACAAACCAAAAGATTGCGGTATTTACGTACCATGCAACAATTATCTAACAAATCACATCTCTATCAAAAATTAAAAAATACAAATCACATCCATAAAACCAGATTATGATCGCAGTAAGCTTTACGTAAATTGTAATTAATTAATCTAATCAATTACATTTTCAACTGAGACAGTAGGCCCCGCGCACTGTTCACATTCGAAACCGAGACATGCCACGCCTTCACTTCTCCATCCAAGCTCCCACTGTAAACCGTAACGATGCCGTTCGACCCCTCGTCTTTAACCGCCACTAACGACTTCACCGGCTTCACGTGCCCCTCCAAAACCGCCAAACAACAAAAACTCCCGTCCTCGCCGCGTTGCCACACCCTCACCGTCCGATCAGCCGACCCACTGAACAACAAATCCCCGACGTTGATCATACACAGTATAGCCTTCCGGTGACCTCTCAGCGCCCCCGTCACCGCCATGTGGTTGGCGCTGTCTTCCCTCTCCCACACCAGGATTGAACGGTCGCAAGCCCCCGAAAACAGCACCGATCCGTCGTCGTTTAAGGCCAAGGCGTTCACTGCCGACTTGTGCTTCTCCAGCGTCGCCATCAACACGTGGCGCTTCTCCCCGAATGGTTTGGACCACACCCTGATCCGACAATCCGCCGACCCGGTGTACACCGTCCCGTCGTTCGACACCACCACCGCGTTCACGGCGTCCTCGTGTGCCTTGACCGACTCGATGCAGCGGAGATCCGAGTCCCGCCAAATCTTCAGGCTCTTGTCCCAGGATACTGAGTAAATCAGGCCGTTGTAGACGGCGATGCCGGTGACGGCGTCGGCGTGTTGGATCCAGAGGCATTTCTTGTGGCGGCGGACGGTCACGTAGTTCTTGGGGAGGACGAAGCGGCGCAAACGGTCATTGACTGTGGGGAGGGAGTTGAAAAGCTTGTGCTGTTTTCCCGCCGTCAACTGCCAGACTCGGATTTTGGAGTTCTGGTGTGAAGTGAAGATATTGCCGTCGGAAAAATTAACGGACTTAACGGATCCCGAGGAGGCATCGTGGGCGTTGAATGAATCGAGAAGCGTGTGGTCCGTACGATCGTAGACGTTGATCGCGTGCCCCGATGCGGCGTAGAGGAGGTTGTGGTGGACGGCGAGGCAGGTGATTGGGAGGGAGGGGCGGCGGGGCGGGAGAGTGGCGAAGCAGAGGTGGGAGACGGAGAGATCGAGGGGGTCTAGAGGGGAGAGTTTCTGGAGGGAGAGGACAGATGGCAGCGTCTGGAGGGAGAGGTTGCTTTGGAGGCTGCTACTGCCGTTGTCGCTGGCGCTGGTACTAGTGCTGGGAATATCGGAGGAGCTGCTGGTATCGGAGGGTTTGAGTTTCGGCCGAGACGGTGGCGTCTCGGGGTTGGAGAATGGGACGGTGGAGTGACGGGTGGTGGAGGAGATGGCTAGCCAGGATCGGGACCTCATGGCGGCGTCGGTGATAGGAAAGCTGAGTAAAACTTTGTTTGTTATTCATATATAGACAGAGAAGATTTTGGACTGTGGGAGTGTGAGGGTAACGCGTGGAGAAGAAAATTTTCAGAGTAACTGTACACCATTTATCATTATATAAATGATAAAATATGTGTATTAAAAAGTTAATAACTTAAAAAGTAAAATTTGTCGTTACTTACGTAAAAACACGTGATTTACTATTTGTATTCTTGTCATTATAATCCGTGTGAAGGGTGGGAGGAGAAGTAAATGACGAAAAGGTAAGGGTACGATTGGTACGAGACTCGGATGTTTGACAAATACGATTTTGCAGGTAGGGTTAGTTTGATAATATGGGGTGTGGATGGAGTGGGGTCCATCTAGGGTAGCTTTGCCAATTGGGAGTTGCCGGGTAACATAAGTTAGGGTACACCACGTGTTAATATACAAAATGTATGATATGTGTGTTAAAAAATTAACAACTTTAAAAATAAAATTTACACTACTTCTATAAAAACATATGACGTTCCATCTGTGTTACGGTGACAAAGAAATTTTTTTTGAGAGAAGGAAGAGGGTGGCTTTGGCAATTGGCAATTGGCATTTGCCTTTGGGATTTAAACAAGAGGAAGATGCTAAAGCCGTAAAGCGATATTGGAATTTGGAGGTCAAAACTTTGGGCTGCTTGTTCCACCAAGTTGGCTTTGGTCTATTTCTTATCCGTGTCTGAGCTGTGACCAGTAAGATGAGACTGTATTATTAGGATAGTTTCTTCGGGTAGTGTGACCAAGGCATGATTCGGGTGACTTCAAAATATAAGAAAGTACCCTGCTTTGGTGAATGTTGTTTTATGGATGATGTGATCGAAATATAAATTTGAATTTTTCTCCTTAATCAAGGAGATGTGGTTGTATTTTATGGTATTTTTTTGTGGAGTGAGATCAGAGCATAATTTAGGTGACATCAAAATATAAGAAAGTATCTTGTTTTGGTGAGAGTTGTTTTATGGATGACGTGATCGAAGTATAAATTTGAGCTTTCATTCCCAATTAGGGAGACGCGGTGGTTTTATGGTTGACCTTGGTTGCGATTGTAGGACGTATAATATGCAGTAGTTCTCAAAGTCAACACTATATCAACACTATTCTTTTAATCAAATATATTATATATTATATATTATATATCATCATACGCGTATAATGACCGTGTATTGATCACATATGTCTATATTTGTGTATTTTTGCCCTTTTTTGGCTCTATGGTATGAGGGGTGCTATGTAGGCAATATACAGTCAATATACAAACAAGACGAAGATATTATTGGTCCAGCTTTAGGGAACAGTGGAGCGGAGTTCCTCTTAAGATGAGGCTCGTGTGTGCAAACACTGAAACACACAAAATTATGGTAATCGGTATAATCGGTAACATATCTTTTTATCTAGTGATTTGGCCATGGAAGACTGTAAAGCTGTGAACTGATATCTGCTCTAGCAAACTGGAATCCTTTTATTGTCTTAAACACTAATAATATAATCCGCAAGATTACAAACCTTAATCTCTACTTAACATGACGTTTAGTTCATATTCAAATACACATGTAGAGCGATAACTTTAAATAAAGGATTTGGAATCAAACTTTAATTGTCACCCTCAAGTGGTAGTGTTTATTGCAGAATTAAAGCTTAATTAATCAATCTCGTTAATATAATTTTTTACAACTTAATTAAGAAAATTATCTGGCTTTTAGCCTATGACAACTCAGAGCAACTCCAGCGTTGGAGCCCTCCTCCCTGGCAATACACTATTCAATCCACCTAATGAACAGTAATTGCCCTTAATGAACAGTAAGTAGCCCTGGCAATAGATTTTGCATCTGCACCGTTACACTTCTATAGCCCTGGCAATAGGCAATAAAATATTAGTATTTTTTTTATTTATAAAATTAATACAAAATAATTTTAAATGTAATATCGGATAAGATTTTTAATCGTTCTCGTTGCGCCACGTGTCATTATCCTAAGTATTATTAAATAATACAAAATAAATAATTATAATACAATTATTGGTGATGGATTTCTGATAAGATTATTAACCAATCACGTTGCGCCACGTGTCATAATCGGTTCACAATCTTTGAGGATAGATTTCCATCAGATTTTAAACGAATGACGGCATGCCACGTGTCATAATCTGTTAACAATCTTTGATGATAGATTTCCATCAGATTTTTAACGAATGACGGCATGCCACGTGGCATTATGCAGAACCTAATCCTTTCTGAATCTTCTATGTAATCCACCATCCATCTTCACAAATCTCACACCAAAATTCTCAAGATCTCTATCATTATTCATAATTTCTGCTTCCTTATTCACAAAAATCAATTTCAATATTCATAGTTTCTGTTTCTTTCTTTCAATGTCTTCTTCTTCTTCCTCAAGGATGATGTGGGAATTGAATCAGGAAGAGGAAGACTTGTTTAACCAATCAGAATCAATGTTCAAGCACCAGGGGGTAAGAAATGAGAGGGAAGAAGATGAGGAGCGTCAAATGAGAGATGACGACGTAAGAAGGGGCAGAGCCTCACATTCCCGTCGAGTCATCCAAGCTGCGGCTCAGATCTGCAGGCCCAGGCGTTCCGGAAACCTTGATAGAAGCAGGCAACGACGAGGTATGGAACTCTTGGATGATTATTTTGTTCCTAATAGTGCATTCCCTGATACGTACTTTAGACGTCGTTTTAGAATGGAACGACATTTGTTCAACAAAATCATGATTGCTGTTTGCAACCATGATTCTTATTTTGTGCAAAAAAAAGATGCTTTTGGTGCTATGGGTCTACTGCCGGAGCAAAAAATTACTGCTGCCTTGCGGATGCTTGCATATGGAGCATCTGCAGACCAAGTGGATGAGATAACGAGGATGGGGCAATCAACCATTCTTGAGTCCCTGATGAGGTTTTGCGGAGCAATCGAATCTATCTACACCGCTGAGTACCTCCGCAAACCCACACACATGGACTTGGAGCGGCTGTTGAAGAAGGCGGAGATGCGTGGCTTTCCTGGGATGATTGGAAGCATTGATTGTATGCACTGGACGTGGAAAAACTGTCCAAGTGCATGGCAAGGCGCTTACGGGGATAGAAAAGGGGCAAAAAGTATCATTCTGGAGGCGGTGGCATCTTTTGATACATGGATTTGGCACGCCTTTTTCGGAGTCCCGGGAGCTCAAAATGACATCAACGTCCTTGCCCAATCCCCAGTGTTCAACGATGTCCTGCAAGGAAAGGCACCAAAAGTTACATATGAGGTCAACGGACGTATGTACGACGGGCCATACTACCTAGCTGACGGCATCTACCCGTGCTGGTCAACATTTGTCAAAATAGTGCCACGTCCGCGGAGTGCGAAGGAAAAACACTTTGCAAGCTGTCAAGAGGGGTGCAAGAAGGATGTGGAGCGTTGTTTTGGTATCCTCCAAGCTCGCTGGGCGATCGTCAGGGGTGCTGCCAGATTGTTTGATGTAGAGTCGCTTCGATCCATCATGATGACGTGCATCATTCTTCACAACATAATTGTGGAAGATGAGTACGATTATGAAGCTGTTGATGAATATGAGCCAGACCCGATGAACAATTTAAGAACACGTATATATTGTGCTCATGACGCCACCGATGACCCCGTGCAACATGAGCCATTACAAAGGGATGGACGTTACAATGAAAGGCTCATTCAATGATATACTGCATTTCAAATGCCAGACATGCACAATGCCCGACAAATTGACTTGATAGAGCACCAGTGGGCATTGAAACAAGCTGAAGATAATTAAGTTCATTTTAGTGTGTTATTTTGAATTTGGTATGTTTATGTTATTTTATTTGGTGTGTTTTATTATTTGGTATGTTTATGTAATTTTTTTATGTTTATGTTTATGTAATTCTTAGTATATGTAATTCTTAGTATGTTTATGTTTATGTAATTCTTAGTATGTTTATGTTTATGTTTATGTTTATGTTTATGTAATTTTTTTATGTTTATGTTTATGTAATTCTTAGTATATGTAATCTATGTAAAGGACTTTTAATTAGAACGATGGACTTTTAATTATTTTATACAAGGACTTTTAATTAGAACGATGGTCATGGTCATGGACTTTTAACAACATAAATAACTTACCAAATTAAATAACTTACCAAATTAATTCTTAATATAAATAACTTACCAAATTAATTTGAATAAATATTCATGAACATGGAAACAACATAAATAATACAAACAATAAATAATAAATTACAACCCAAAGTGATTGGAAAATTATGGGCTCCGATTACAAAAAGTACTCTATTCATCATCACTTAACCAATTTGTGGTGCTAGGATGATCTTCTCTTGATAATGAGAAGGTATTTATAGAAAAGTAAAAACAATTTTTTTTACAATTTTTTTCAGATTTTTCAGATATTTTTTTGAATTTTTTACAATTTTTTTAAAATTTTTATTCAATTAATTAATCTCTGCCGTTGGATATAAAAAAATTTGAATTCCAACGCTCCAGATTGTGCCACGTGTCACAACGGTAACTTTTCAGATTTTTTAAACTATTTTTTCATTTATTTTTTAATTTATAAAGCATTTTAATATCCACCGTTGATCTCAGATCGAACGGTGGATATTAAATCTGACACTTTTTTTTTTTTTTACCGTTGAGATCTAACGGTCCACATTAAGTGACCGTTAGGATCTAACGTACCGTGGGAAGCCACATGGCTTCCCAACGGTAACAGACAAAACTTTTTTTTTTCTGATTATTGTGTCAGGACGCGCCCCCACGCGCGGGTGGGGTGCACGCGCCTGACACAAAAAAAATTAAATAATACGCTGACGCCACCCTGGCGTCAGCATGACGTCATCCCCACCTCGGGCTCAAGGCCTGGCAATCCCTCACGGGCTTGGCCCTCGGGCCTCCCCCATCCCCCGGCCTGCCTCATGCTGGAGGCCATCCACCGGCCCTCGGGCCTTTGTTCTGGAGACAGTCCCCCGAGCAATTTGCTACGGTGGGGATGCTCTCATGGAGTGTAAGCTTACCGTACGGGGTTAAAAGGTGGCATTGGAGCTTATGATGTGACCGGCATTACCAAGAAATCAGATGTCAACTGGTAACTATCAACGCCAAAGTGTGATCCTTTTTCTGCAACCTTCCCATTAACTATCACAGCGATGGAGTCTGCTCTCTTACTTGTGGACAGCCTGTGAGCTACAACTACTCATGTTCTACCGACCATCATCTTCTCCAATGCTTCTTCGACTAAGTTTTCCGACATGCTGTCAAGAGCGCTGGTTGCTTCATCCAACAGATGAATTGTTGGGTTCTTTAGGATTGGTCGAGCAAGTGCTATTCTCTGCTTCTCGCCTCCGGATAGCTGCACTCCTTTTTCTCCACAGTAAGTCTCGTATCCCCCTGATGTTTTTTATTTAAGGCAACTTATGTAGTTGTATTTGTCACTTTATCTTTGAACTAGTAAAACTTAGTGTTCAAACTCTCTGAGTTTTTTTTTTCCCTGATGGATTCCGGAATACTGATGAATTAGAATTTATGTTTTTAGATTTAGGCTTTTGTCAATCCTATCTATCCTGTTTCTTGCTACGTCAACAACTGTTTGTGAAAGTGTACGTGTTGTAAATGGAGTAAATAAATTGTAGCCATAGCTTATAAATTCACGAGCATGGGCAAGTTTTGCAGCCTTCCTTACTTAAGTTACTGTTGCATTTTCTTTACCATACACAATGTTTTCATGGATGGTTCCTCTGCAAAGAGTAGGCTCCTGGCTTACCAAAACAATTTGTGACCTCAATTTCCTCAAATTATAGAGCTTGATGTTGCATCCATCTATCGATACTGATCCATTTAGCGGGTCACAAATCCTTTCGATCAAGCCAATGACAGTGGATTATCCGGAACCACTCTGTCCCACTAGTGCTATTGTATTTCCAGCTTCTATTTTCGGATTCAGCCCCTTGAGCTCATCTGGTTCGCCCACACTGGGTAAGCGAATACAACATATTTTAGTTCTATGTGACCATTGAAACTCTTCTTTTATCCCTTCAGGCTCTTTGCCACCACACATATTCTTCCGACCATCATCTTGTCGAGCGTTTGTTGGAGTAGTCTCCGACACACTGTCGAGGGCACTTGTTGGACTAGTCTCCAACACACCATCATCTTGTTGGGTTTTTCAAAATTGCTCGAGCAAGCGCTATCCTCTGCTTTTGGCCCCTGGATAGCTTTACTCCTCTTTCTCCACAGTAGATTTGATATCGATCTTTCATAGCACTGCATAGATATGTGCCTTGTCAGAAAGTAACAAATGTTATGTGTCTCAGTTTTAATGAGAAGATAGGGAGATGTATAATGTATGTGTACCTTATAAATTCGGATTCTCTATAATTCTCTCTAACGTAAACTACGTTGCCATGGATTGTTCCTGGGAAAAGCATTGGCTCCTAAGACACTACACACCACCGCGATATGTGACCTCAGCTGCCTCAGGTTGTAGTTCTTGATGTTGTTTTGATCTATGTACACCGATCCCTTTACTGGTTCGCAAAGTCTTTCAATTAATCCGATGACAGTGTATTTACATGAAAATCATCTCTTCTGGCCTTGCCGGGTGAGCCAAAACCACATTCGTCAGTTCTATACATGCAGTGATGGTTCTGTGATTGAGTAGAGTAGCCTATTGCTGCATGTTAAAAACTTAACAGTAGCCACAAACAAGTTGCATTTTCTCTTCGGTCTCTTACTTTGTTTGTTGTTCACAGAATATAAAGGAAATGGTAAATATTTACCAACCATACTAACATGGTTATTGAACAGGCGCAGGCCAAGTCCACACCCTTAGTTTGATATTCTTCATTCTTCATAGGTATAAAGGTTACGCTACTATTAAATTTCATCCAATGATCAAAGGTGGTTAGTCAAATTATCCACAATCCAATCCACCCTTGCATTTAGATTTAGTACAGAAAAAATAATTTTTAATGTTGGAAGAACAAAGTTAAAATCATAATGGAGAGGTTGAAGTTTACAAATAGAGACCTAATACTATGTTTGGACGAGGAATTTAGGCCAAAATAGTCAGAAATGTCCCACAAAAGATTAAGTGGAGGGATTTGAAGAGTAGATATAACGAACTAAGGGGTTGAAGAATGACTATTTGATGTGAGTAATTTATACATAAATCTCTTATTTAAATTTTTGGAATGATCATGTAGTGCATTTTAAATTCCTCCATTTAATGTTTTGATAGAATGATCTTTTTTTTTTTAAAAAAAAAAAACTAACTAGTGACTTCGCCACGATAGTCCACTCTTCTGGGGGCCGGGAATGAAGACTCATAAAGACATTTCAGCGTCCTCTGGCTACTTTCGTGATGTGCCGTGTAGAATACGAATTTGAAATTCGTCTCCAACTACTGGATCACTTTTGATAGAATGATGATATCAGTTTAGCAAAAAAGTATTCTACAAGTCTGATAACGTTATCTGTTTGTTGTATCCAAAAGTAATCTTCTGATCATGAAAAAGATAACAATGGACAAAATGCAAAGATAGAGAATCACGCAAGTTTCACTTCAAATTATCAACCTTTTGGAAAAGTTTTCGGTTTCATGCCAAGACAGGCAAGTCCTAAGCGCTGTGCTGCACCCGTAGATAGGCTTGCAAGAAATCGTGCCCTAAAGCTCTGCAACAATGCATAACCGATTTGTCACCATACAAACAAGTTAAACTAGGTCACGTGTTTGGCATGCAGGCACAAGATTTGAACCAATAAAATACAAATTCCACCTCCAAAAATAGAAAAGCTTTTTATAAATAGCAAGAACATTTATCACATGATGTATCATTTTATGCGATATGTTATGTGTAGACGATATGATTGATATGTCTCACTTCTCAAGTATATTAAAAAAAACACACTAGTTAAAGTGTGAGAAAATATAATAGCATCACGTAATAGTATTTCGATGAACTTCTGGAAAAGACGACCACCTTTTCTCCATTTTTTCTCTCTACAGCTAATAAAGTTGGTACGTACTCATAGTGCTTATCCCACTCGAAAAATGTATATAAGATCGATATGCTTCCATTGCTAGTTCAGACACCTCCGTCTCCCATAATTCTCAAAACCCTAAATTTCATATTTTCTTGATTAAACTATAATTATAGAGTGATGAACTTGGGGAAGTTTATTTTGGTTGCCCTAGCTCTAGCTCTGGTCCTTGTCCTGGCTGAGAGCTTTGAATTTCAAGAGAAGGACTTGGCTTCTGAAGAGAGTCTGTGGGATTTGTATGAGAGGTGGAGGAGCCACCACACAATCTCCCACGACCTTGGCGAGAAGCGAAAGCGCTTCAATGTTTTCAAGGAGAACGTGAAGCATGTGCACAAGGTGAACCAGATGAACAAACCCTACAAGCTCAAGCTGAACAAGTTTGCAGACATGACGAACCATGAGTTTGCGAGCTCCTATGCTGGCTCGAAGGTTAGCCACTACAGATCACTGCATGGCAGCAGAAGGGCTACTGGCTTCACACATGAGATGACCGACGATCTTCCGGCAAGTGTTGATTGGAGGAAGAGTGGAGCTGTCACTGGAGTTAAAGACCAAGGCAAATGTGGTAAGTCTCTTATAATTGAGCAAAATAAGGGGACGTTGGGAAATCCCTCAATTAGAAATACTTTTGTTCATAGGTGTTTTTTACAGGTGAGTCGATTGTTTTTTATAAATATCCATCTTCTTCTTAGAAAGTCACTTTAAGTGTTTTTGTTACACATAACCGCTTTTTAATATTTTCTACCAACCATTATTAGAAACACTTTTAGTTATCTGAACAACATTCCAATAATAAATAGTTCTACTTTTATATTTAAAATTGACCCTAAGAAGGTTTTTGAAGTGCACATATATGAATAATGTTAGGAAGATTAAATTTTGAAAACTGAAAGACATGTAAGTTGATTGGTTTATTACTTAAATCATTGATAGACGTGCATATTTCTATTAGTGACATATAATTTAGTTTGCAATTTTAATCTCCAAATTTAGTCTTCTTAGCATTACTCGCTCATATTTACAACTTTCAGGGGAAAATTGGCAGTTGAGCATGGATGATTGTCAATATATTATGCGGTTAAAATCAAGAGCTGAATAAAATTCACTGCATGGTATTTTGATGTTATAGGTAGCTGCTGGGCATTTTCAACTGTAGTTGCAGTGGAGGGCATCAATCAGATCAAAACAAAGCAGCTAGTCTCTCTGTCTGAGCAAGAGCTGGTTGATTGCAACAGAGATCCGAACGAAGGGTGCGAAGGTGGATTGATGGAAAAAGCATTTGAGTTTATCAAGAAAAATGGTGGAATAACAACGGAGCAAAACTACCCTTACAGAGCCAGTGATAATCCTTGTGACTCATCCAAGGTGAAAAATTAATTACCCATTTCAATATTTATGTTATTTGTATGAGTACTACACTATTATCTTCTTACTTAACTTCGTGTTAAATTTGCAGATGATGAATTCTCCTCTGGTGCAAATCGATGGTTATGAAAACGTGCCTGAAAACGATGAGAATGCCTTGATGAAAGCTGTTGCAAACCAACCTGTGTCAGTTGCACTTGATGCTGGTGGTAAAGACTTCCAATTCTACGCGGAGGTAAACTAGCTTCTAAATAACCAACTAAGCACCAATAAAACTTGATATTTCATAAGTTCCTATCCACACTCCTAGTAATATATAGCATCTAGCACAGTAAACAATCTGAATATAAAGAAATTATTAGATACGATCGTGCGTGTCACGTCACTTATTTACTGAAGACACATAAAAAGGAGACCTTATGCACATGTTGGGTCCGAATGCAATGTGAGGAGTCATCATTTTGCGTGTTTGGACAAATAGATAACATGACATAGACGATCGTACCCAATAATCTCTTCCTAACAAGTCAATCACAGTAATTAAACTACTTTATCTGAAGCATATAAATTCTTTTCAAAAGCATGGACATGTTTTAGTTTCCAACTTTACCCATGCCGGTACAATGCTCCTCGAATAAGTGCAGAATGACAAAGGAGTGTAACAAAGCATCATCGAACATGTATATGTGTACTTATGTGTCAAATGAGACGTTAATGTTTTAAATTTGCAGGGTGTGATGAATGGAGACTGTGGAACAGAACTGAATCATGGAGTGGCAGTTGTGGGATATGGAGAGACTCAAGATGGAACCAAGTACTGGATTGTGAAGAATTCGTGGGGAGTTGAATGGGGAGAGAAAGGTTACTTGAGGATTCAACGAGGAGTTGATAAAGAAGGAGGGATGTGTGGAATTGCTATGGAGCCCTCTTACCCTATGAAATCATCACCAAACATCACCAGAAGAAGCTCATTCAAGGATGAACTTTGATGATGCCACTATATATATACGTACACACGCATATCTATATATAGTTTAATTGGTAATTTTAAATTTCGTTGCCAGTTTAGTAAGTGATCAGGCTTTGTCATAATAAATAAACAAATAAATAAATAAGAGAGAGGTATAAAATCTTATAAGATATGTTATAGTGTGTGCGTTTGTGTTGTACTGAATTTACCTTTCATTTAGATGAAAATAAATGTTTATTGATACTGAAAAATGAAATGAAATAAAGAGTTGAAATCAGTTATCATATATGGTTATGTCAATTCAATTTCAAGGCAAGTAGGGGATTGCTCTTGTAGTTTTGACATTTCTCTTGAATCATCTGCTTTTAAAAGTTTCGTTTTCTTTTTAGTTTAACTTAGATTAGTAACATTGCTTGTAATAAAAAATTAAAAATATTTTTATTCAAAAACTGAACACAAAAAGGATCCTCATCCGGGATAGAGGGTGGCAGCAGCCTGACAATTAACAAGATGGCCACAACAACTACAAGACATGACACTGAAACAGGGTAGTGGAGGATAAATGTCTGATGGTCCGGTGGCTGCGCCCTGCGCCTATAGCGAATTGACATGGATGGCAGGGATGCCACTAAAATTTTTATGCGGATTTTACATTTTTTTACTCTGTAATATGGTATAATTCAAAATCGTTCATTTTTTAACTTCTATTTTTATAGGCTGATTTTATAAAAAAAAAAATAACTAAATCATAAACTGTTTAGTAAAGAATAAAATTATATTATAAAAATTGATATGACATGTTACCTACTTAATTTTCTTGTAAAAAAAAATTGTACTCTCTATTACATTAGACAAATAAAGTAGATAAAATTATACTTTATTATTTTATTTCATGTATAATATTAATTTTTAATTTTATCATCTCCCTCGACAATCGACATAAGATATTATACGATAAAATGATATATGAAACTCCATTATTGTAGGCAATGTTGCCAACTTTGGAGAGTAGGGAAAGTTTGCTTAATCTGCCTGCTCAATTGACTACTTTATAGAGCTTGATGTTGCTCAAATGTCTCATCCAGGACAGTTTGACTGCTCTTTTGATTACACCATAACTCTGCAACCCTAACTTGTAGGGATCATTGAGGGTCAAAGGCTTTAGAGCCACATGTACGCTATATCACCCAACTTTTTTATCATCAGATTCGAATTACCTGGCACCAACTTCACGAGCAACCCTCTCTCTCTCTCTCTCTCTTCCCCCCTAGGTACGCAGATAACCGAGCCAAACCTCTACAGGCGATGGCAAAACATGGACGCAGCTGCAGTCAGCTTACTATTCCAAGCTAAATGTTTAGCAAAAGTTGCTTTTTGTTCAGTACTTTAGCAGAAGAATTGTCCATGTAATCGCGTGTAAGTTGAAGCGAATGTATTATTGACACGAAACGAAACCTACCAATATAATTGTGTTTTGAATCTTTGATTTATGGAAGAATTTCTCAAACTTTATTAGGGGTTTTTTTTTTTTTTTCTTCCTGTCAAAACACTTTATTAAAGCTGTGATGCCGTTTACTCGGACTTACATTGTGAGGCTGCCTGAACAGTGGTATTAGTATTGGACCTGGCTTCTTTATCCTTCCATTTTCATCTATTTTACGATCACGGTTACGTCAACATTTTATATTAATTTTTTTATAAAAATAATAAGATAAAAAACAATAATAATATAAAATATTAACGTAACTTAACTGTGATCGTACAAATAATAAGAAATGGAAATGTATGTTAAGTGGGAGGACAAAAAAGCCAGATCCATTAGTATTTGAAGTAATCAGAGACTTGCAGGCAGGCATGCATACTTCTGGGCGGACAGTCACAGACTTGATCGTAAATTAATGTAATCTGACTCCATCGTCAACTTATATCCCAGAGAGATATGCAGCGCAGATCGGGTACATCACATAACCAGACCAATGCCATAGAAAGTACCATTCCTTTCTTCTCAATCTCCTTTTTTGGAATAAACACCAAACCAAAAAAATTATCTATACTAAAAGGTATGAGATTGAGCTAAATCCCACAACGAATTAACAATAATATGGTTCAAATTCGTCTTTGGCGAGAATCGAACTTAAAATCTCTCACGTACAAGTAAAGAGAAATATCAATAAACCGTAATATTAAATGACCCCTAATCCTATTATCATACTACCATATACGTGAATGCTATAAAGGAAACGTACAACTAAATGGAAAGGAATGTTTCCCTCATCCCTTCCATTAAATCCTCTCTATCAATCAATATGTGTCCTTGAAATTTGATTCAACGGTTAAAGTTATTATAACTTTTAAAGTGAACCCTGTTTTTAACCGTTGGATGAAATTTCAAGTACCTAGATTAGTTGGTGGGAAGGATTTGATGGATAGGGAGGATCCCTTTCCTAGCTAAATTGTATGAATATTAATGAAACGATTAAACAATACAATTGAAAATGATTAAGGAAGTTTTAACAAAACACTCTCGATATTGTTCACTTTTAACGAAAAACCACATTTTAATCTTTTCATGTTTCTATTCACTACACCTTTATTTGTCATTTTTCATTAAAACTAAAGTTTTTTTTTTTAACTTTTGTTAGTTTTTCTAATGATTAAACGATATTATTTTTGTTTAATAGGAAAATGTACGGCTGACCAAACCATTGCAGTACGTACAAAATTCAAAGCAGAATATTGCTAGCAAATCTGAATTCGCGGTGTACATTTTTTAATTTCAAGGGTGGAAATTAGCTACAATTTTTAGAGTTCAAATTATTTTCCATGAAATATATTCTAAATTGATGTACAACAAATAGCATAATGGAACAAAAAAAATAGAAAATAAACTATCGAAAAACAAAATGATACATGCGGGAGTTTACATATTTAGCATCCGAATTACGATTTGAACCCATAATACTTTTTAAAGGAAATGACACCATGATTCAAACTCACAGCTTTGTTGTGATATACGATGAATTTCAACCAATCTCCAAAACTGTGTTTAAAGTTTCATAATAAAAATCAAACCTTTCGATTTTCGTCCGATTAATGTTTAATTAGTCATTTTACTTCCTGGAAGTCCTGGACCCAAAAAACATATCCTAAAAATCATTTGAGTTGTTAGCGGTTGTAATCTTTATTTAAGGCATGTGTACGTATTAATTATATTCATTCAACCATTAATCAATTCAACCCTTTGAGATTTCTCTCAATTTCGTAGTAGATTTCAGACTTGTTCTTCAAGCGATTTATGTTAGTAACCCTTTTGATTACTCCGTGCTACATCACGAATGATTATAAATTCAGCAGCATTAAGGAGAAGATGAAGAAAACACATTAGATTAATTCAAACTACATTAGCAAAACAAGAAATCAATACGAGCCCTTTGCAATTCTTCCTTCTTTCGAGAATATACGCTAGTCAACTTTGGACTGAAAAGGAAAAAAGAAAACTTACAAAACACGACATAACATGGCGGTGGAGGTAGCCGCTGCTGGTTGCCTTTTTTTCTAATGAACTTATAGCTAGGTAGGTGGTAGTTGTATATCTTGTTCATCATCATCGTCAGCCATGGCGCCGCCGTTCTGGCTGCCGTCGTCGTCCGTATCACACGCGGACACAGGCGCGTCGTAATCAATATCGTGATGGTGAGGTGGCGGGAGCAGGAGAGAAATGGAGGAAGAGGAGGAGGTGGTGGAGGAGTGGGTTTTATTATTAATTTGGGCGCCAACGCCAACAATGGGAAGTGGTTCGGTCAGTTGCTTCCCGTCCCGAGGCGGAGAAAACACCACTGGCAGGTAGTGCTCCATGTCGCACGGGAACTTCGAGTTCTTGAAATGCTCCTTCAACGCCTCCAATCCCTTCACATTAATTAATATTTATAGCTAATAATAATTAGCAATTTTGATGGTGGATTATGCTGAAATAAAAATGTTTAACGAGGAAATTAAAGAGACTTGTTACCTGAACTCGAGCGTAGGTGACTTGGCAGATTTTCCGGGAATTGAAGACCTCCCAATGTTGATGGTGAAAGGCTTTGTACAGCCTCCATGTTGCCTGCGGAGTCGTCATGTTCACGAATCCATATCCCACATTGCACTTGTTGCTGTGCTTTCCACACATTTGAATTCGACCCATGAATTTGATATTTGACAAATGTGTACCAGAACATAATCACAATTTTGGAAATAAAATTTACAGAGAGAAGATAAAAATGATCGCAGAAGCATTTTGGTGACGAACTTCAAACCATTTTTTGTCCAAAAAATGTTACTTTTACTATCTAATTGTAGCATCACTTGTATCATCTCTCTAATAGAGATGAGACTCACATGCGTTGGCAAACCCTATCTCTATTACAGAGATAATACAAATGAGGGTCCAGCTAAGTGATAAGTATAGCATAATTCAATTCTTTGGATATGATTCTCTTTCTTCCTAATCTCTCTTCCCTCCCCTTTTATTTAATCGATTTCAATTATGATACGTCAACATTTTATTTTAAATTTTTTATATAGAAAAAAAAAGGACAAAACAAAATGTGAGAAGAGAAAAGGAAATGAATTGTAATAGGAACGGAGAGAATCTTAATTCTTACCTTTTTTTTGTCGCCGAAGAGAATGTTCATATCTTTACTAATATCAAATAAAAATTCATGACCAAGCCAATAGACAATTTTGTAAATTAATCATTCTGAAATTAAAGTTGATGTTTTCACCATTTTAGCTAATTCCCCTATAAATAATTCGTACAATTATAAGGTATAATTTTGATATTTCTAAAGAAATCAATTAATAAAACAAAATAATAAATAGAATAAAAGAAAAGGAAAGTTACTTGAAATCAATGGGAAGATAAACGAAATCGTAGGAGGAGAAAGGCTGCTTTTCATCATCATCACCACCGTGATCGCCGGCGCTAATGATCTGTTCATTACAGTGGATACAGTGGTTGTCCAGCATGTTCAACAGCAGCTTCTGACTGCCACAATAATCCACCACCAAAAAAACAATTTCATCACCATCACAGCAAAAACAAAAACTGAAAAAAAATAAGAACAGAAATATGAATTGCCCTAAAAAATTTATTTACCTGTACTTGTTGGGTATGTTCTTGATCATGACGGTGGTTCTGGTATCTCCGCTGGTGGATTCCGATATGGCATCTTCGTTGATTAAAAATTTAGAATCTAACTTCTTCGCTTGTCTTGCCTTCTTCGCCCTACTGCTCTTCGGCTGCTTCGGACTCTGCGAGCTCCCGCAACTCATCTTCTTCGAAGACGAAGACCACCTTTTCTCTTGGATTGCATCCAAATTTAAACCCGCCATTTTGGATTCAACATTGTTTCTGCTAATTACCATTCCCTTGCTGCCGCTAGAACTACTTGATCTATTATTGCTCCTAGTCGATGAAAATTGGATTTGCGATGAGGATGTACAAAGAAGAGGCCGCGGCCCCGCCAATCTAAAACTGTTCGAGAGTCTAGAGAATTTCACAGCCAATTCGGCCGGCGGCAGCGGTGCAAAGAGATTGTGAGGCGAAAGTAGAGTGGGGGCAGTGTGAGCCACCGCATTCAAAAACTTCCGGCTGTGGCCGCCGGGCCGACTGATTTGAATCACAACTGATTTTCCGTTGATTTCTTTGCCGTTCATCTCCTCGAGAGCTCTCGCCGCGTGTCTGACGTCGAAGAACTCGATGAATTTTTGGTGCTTCTTCGATGGCGTCTCTCTCAATTCCTTCACAGCACCTGATAAAATTACAAAATTACACCCGACAAAATTGAAACAAAATCCAGGTCCCATGTTCTCCCATTGGCCATGAAAAACGTAGGACAAAGACGCATGAGACCTACTCCTTAATTATCCCCACAAAAATCCGGAAAAAATAACGTGAAAAAACAAATTAATGGAGGAAATGCTACCAAAAGCTTGGAATATGTCTTTGAGAGCGGAGGTGGTGACAGCCGGGTCCAAATGGAAAATGACGATTGTGCCCTGATTGTGGCCGTCCGGGACGGCTTTCAAGGCCGGAATGACGAACTGGGCCCACACGGCCTGCCCGGCGATGAGGCCGCGACCCGGAGGAAACGGAAGCGGGAAAATAGGAGGCGGCAGAGGTGATGTGGCCGTCGTGAACGACAAGGCGGCGTAGTGGTTACGAATCCTGTCTTCCTGCTGCATGTGCTGCTCCCGAATCTCCCGCAACGCCCTCTCTGCATGCCTCAGATCGTAGAAATGGACGGTCACGATACCGTCGCACGCCCTCTCCATCTGCACCCACCTCACCTCCCCGAACCCCTCCAACTCCCTCCGCACAGTCCGCTCGCTGACGTCACTCGGAACCCCGTTCAGAAGCACTGCGCGTGTGGCAGCCGCCATCGGAGGCGGCAACGGTGCGCATACAGTAGCCCCCGCACTAACGTACGCGGCTGGCGCGGAGAACGGAGCGTACGGTACAACTTCGCTGATTGGCGGTGGTGGGTAGGGGTAGTAAACCTGGTGGGGAGATGGAGACGGTGGTAGCAGTTGTGGCGGCGGCTGAGGAGGCCCGAAGATGGGTATTTGGTTCGGGTTACTGGGTCTGAACTCTTGGGCTCCGGGGTCCAAACTTCCCGGAAACCGTACAAAGCCAGTATCTTCCATGTGGTGGATGATGTCGGAAAACCACTGTAAGTAAGGAAAGTCGTGACTGTCCGGCGAATAAAAACTGGGAGATATTAGTTGGTTATTTGTTGCTCTGGTCAAATTCCACAGCTATCTTCCCGTGTAACAGTACATCTCTCTCTCTCTCTGTCCCCACTCTTTCTCTCTCTGGAAAATGGAACTGAGATGTTAAGTGTAGGCAGCTATGGTATAAAGAAAAGCAGGCACAGCACAGTTGTGTCGAGGACACAAGGACGTTATATCAATTTTTTTTATTTTTAACGAACGATGTTAATTACACAGGAAAGAAAATATATTTAACCTCAGATTATGCTCTATACCACATGATATAGCTTTTTTTTAAAATTTATTTATTATTATGAAAATTGAAGAATTCAAAATTATTACAATAATTTAAAAATAAAATAAAAATTTCGAGCCCCAAGTGTATGAATAATCCTAATAACCTCCTACTTATTAATTTTACATAAAGAATTTTAGTTTTTAATTCCTTCTAGTAATAAAATAACACATGATGTATTGCTTTTAAAAATTAAAAAAAAAAGATAATTTCTGAATTCTTTTCATCTAATCCATCAAATTAGGGAATTTGTGTTGTTGAAATTTAATTCAACGTTTACAAACAGAAGTCCATTTTAAAAATTATAATAAATTTAATCGTTTAATCAAATTTTAACAACACAAATTCTTTAATTTGCTTAATTGGAAGGAATGAATTTGGAAAAGATCCCTTTCCCAAAAAAAAAGTACTGAAAAATCTCTCAGCACAGAGGGCCTTGGGCTTGGCATGTTTCCTTTTCCACTACTTTCTTTTTTCAAACCAAAGTTGCCGAAGATGTACTTCTATCCATTTAAAACACGCCATGAAATTACCATACTACCCCGGAGTTATCCGATTACCGCGGGGCATAGTTTGCACGTTGGGGTTATGGGGGTAATTGAGTCCCGGTAAAGGATGAGAATGAACGTGGGTCGTACACGTGGAAAAGAGGACGAGTGGAGTGTGCGAAGATGCGCGAATGAAGGGGATGGGAGGCTATAGAGAGAAAGGAAAAAATTTTAATTGTGACGAGAACACATATGGTACCTTATGTGTTTTTATGTAAGTGATGAAAAATTTAAAATTATTAACCTTTTAACACACATAATCCACTATTTTTATAGAAATATATAATGTATTATTTCGTATGACGATCGCACTAAAAAAATCTTTCGAAAGGAAAGGTACAAGCTGGTAAGTTGTGACACAAAAGAGGGATTTCCGTAAACGGATGATAATTATTGCTCTGCTACCTCCTGCATGGTACTTTTTGAGTTCGGATGATTCTTTTTACGGGATTTCGAGAATTCGTAAATCGTATCTATTTATCGTACGTCATAAGATTAAAAATTATTTTAAATATTTTTATTTAAAAATAAATATAAATAGTATTTCATAAAAAATGATCATATGATATACAATTAACTAATACAATTCATAGATCTCTACAATTCTCATCAAAAGAATCCGAAAATGATTTTGTTGGGTACTTTTTAACGCGACCTTGTTTTGACTAATCATCCTCCCTTCTTTTTTTTTTTTTTTTTTTTTTCATCTATCATATTTTTGCTATAAAAAAATGTACCCCTTGGGGTATCTCGAGGCTTGAGATTGAGAAATACATTTTTCGTGTCTTTGTTTTTCATACAAGTAATATTGAGAGATGGTATTCAAATATAAATGCTCGAGTAGTGCACGATTAATGTTCTTATAATTACTTGAATTACAAACCTTATGATTTGATGGAATAAATATAATGCTTTATTTTTATTCTTGCAATTAATTGAACATTTAATTATTTACTGGTGAACAAAATAATTAAATTTATGTCACATAATATTGGGAATTTAGGGACTATCTTAAAAGAAGAATTAGGTTAAATCTCTGACTCAAACAAACAATGGGAGAGAATAATAATATTTGAATAATTATAGGATGGTTCTCGGAGAAATTGATGTTCTACTGTAAAATCAAGAATAATGTTAGGAAGATTATATTTTGAAACTAAATTTGCAAATCAAATGGAGCATTAACCTAAAATCAATTGGTAATATGAGAAGTAGCCCAATTTACTTATAAGGTCATGTAACGTTCCTCATTTTCTTGATGTGAAATTAGAACTCTGAACATGCTCATTCACGTACAATAAATTTTCAAATCTAATACGCAAACAACATATATTGATCAGTGAAGTAAAGCATGTGTGGCCGTAAGCTTCGCACATAAGACAATTTACTAATACCGTAAAAAAATATTAAAGTTCCACTATAAAACCAATTATTCCTCTTAGCCGTTGTTTTACAAGTGTATACATGCAACATGGGAAACAGGAAAAGCTTTTACTTGCTTGGTTGAAGAATGTCCGCAGATTGTTGGCATTACCACTCGCTAATTATTATTTCCAATTCTTTTAATTTGTACGATATATATGTTTAATCATCTTATTAGTCCGATTCGTACATAGTTTGGTTGATGTCTGCAAGGAACAAGGTGCTTCGCGCTATTCGATAAGCGACCCTAGAATTGGGAGTTGAAGTTCCATTTGTGTGATTTTCTTAAAACTGAAACTCTTTATCGACTTTCTGTTATCTCATATTTTTAGCATAATAAATAATATTAATGTTAAATTATGATGTAACAGGAAATTCATAGAAAATCATACTTTAAGAAAACCTCGTTAACATATCTCTTTAAATCTTTCTTCTTAAAGCTCTTCATCATGCATTGAACTATTTACTTTTTAATCGTTTTTTTTTTTTTTTTAGATTATCTCTATAAAAAGTTAATCATCAAGTAAATGAATCAACATTTTTTTAGTTAAAACACTAAAATTATTACAATGGTAATTAAGGATGACTTGAATAAATAGCTAATTATGATTATCAAGTAACATTGTAAGATTGCAATACTAAACGAGAAGTTGGAGGGAAAGGTGTAGATGAGATAGTTGTTTGCATCCTCCTTCAAGATTTACGTTCAATCTCTATGTTAGACTCTCATCATTTGATATAAGAATGCACCTCACATTTAGAGTATTTTTGCACATAACACGTAGAGAAGTTTCATTGTGTATGTCTGCCACATACACAATATGTCTTCAGCTAATATCGAATTACTATGAGCATTAATTTAATTCAAAATCAAATCATATGTGAAGGAATTAAAAAAAGATTTCATTTTTTACTGAAGTTTCATAGTTTATCATTCAATGAGAGATAATATCACATGCCATAAGTTGTTCAAATTAATCAATATCGCTCATTTGTTCATATTTAACTGTCTTTTTGGATTACTTTTTAAATGATTAAAACACATTTTTGTTATCAAAAGCATTTCTAAACACGTTTGATAACAAAATTTAAAAGTATTATCAAACACAAGTTTAGGGTTTAGAAACGTCTTCTTAAAACACATTTTAAACCTTAAACTCGTGTTTTCAGGTCCTAGAAGTACTTTCTAGAGAACCACGAGTTTTGGGTTTAAAGTGTGTTTTAAAAAGACGCTTAAATTTTTAGTAAAAGTTTAATGCATTTTTAAAAGCAATTGTAAGAAAATCGCTTTGGACACAAATATTTCTCACAAAAAACAATCTCAAACGAGCTCTCAGATCTCAAATATGATCAAAATAACATTTTTCTCCACCCATAAATCCCTATTTTTAATCCCAACAACAGCAATACAAGCTCAAACTTCGAATTGCTTCCACGAAGATCCACCCAACTTCCATCCTCTCTTTCGAGACATAAACAAATTAAGATGAACTCGAACAAAAATTTGTGTAAATCTAGTACTAGCTATTAGTATATATTACTTAAGAGTAGCACACGTGCGCCGTAGTTTCTACTATCCAGTCATGGGGTCCAAGCATGAGATGAGACTACCAATGCGGTCCCGACCTTAATATCCCCAAACATCGATACTTTGCATGCTCTTGTCTCCCTCTCTCACATTAAGGTACGTGCAAACATTTCGATACGGTGTTATTTATTTACTATCTCTCCTCCTCGTTGTGGTCCATCTGCATTATTTACTCCTCAATCTTTGAGTTTGGCAAGAACTGCACCACATGTATAATTTGCGCCACTACATCGTATTTATTGTCCCACTAATGTCAGTGTGGTAATTAGGGTTATATGGTTACTTTGTTATTACATATCAAAAGCTATATTATATGCCAGAAAGGCGGATAATACATTGTCATTGAACTTAGTGATACTTGGTGTCTTAAGTTCAATTCACAAAGAAGCAAACATGATATATCATTGTAGGTGGATTAAGGACATGTTGGAGAAGTATTTTTGCCAATATCCTGTCGTTTGACTTAAAAAACAATGATAAACAAGGTAAAATGCATTATTATTTTGAAGAATTGTTGAGAGATAATGGGTCGGTTTTGTGTGTTCATACAGAGGTAATGTTTTTATACACAACTTATTAGCTAACTAGTCATATATAGGCTTATTTTTAGTTACGCTATATGAAACTCGATTTCGATCCCACTTTGGCTCCTAAAACTCTAAAGTTGCGACTTTACTCTTTGAAACTCAATATTCGCTCCACTATGCCTTATTTCTGTTATTCCGTTAAATAACCATTATGTTGATGCTTATTTGTATTTACACTATGAAACTTGATTTTGTTCCCACTTTGCCCCTTAAAACTCCAAAGTCACTACTTTACTCCTTGAAACTCAAAATTCGCTCCACATTGCCTTGTTTCTGTTATTTCCGACTTTGACAATGCCATGCCTTCATCTTTTCCTATTTCTCTTTCTTTCCTCATCTTCCTCTTTCCATAAACGAAATCCAAATTCCTCATTTTGCCCTGGCTCATAAAAATAGTAAAATCAATGGAACTGATGATAAGGTGGCTAGAGATAAAGAGAGAAGAGATGAATGTATGAACAACGTTTAGAGAAGGGGACGGAGGGTTATTTAACAAAATACACATACACAAGCAAAAGTGAAGTGAATATTAGGTTTCAATAAGTGAAGTGACGACTTTTGAGTTTCAGGAAGTAAAGTGGAATCGAAATCGAGTTCCAAGAAGCGTAACTAAAAAAAAGTATTCTAAAAATGTATGTTTTAATCCACATTAGCATATTTGACGGTTTTTTATTTTGAATATAACATCAACATGACAAAATGAGTTTCAAAGAACAAAATGAGATCAAAATTGAGTTCTTGAGCGTAGCTAAAAATAAACCATATATATTGTTGTGATCCCCATTTGATTCACATGATTCATGGGCCACTACTCTCTCTCTCTTGCACTATAATTTGTAATGGAGCCCTTTTGATGGCACACAGAAGTGAAAGAGATGTTTCCTCATTTGTTTTAATCTCCATCGACCCTATTTTAAGGAGTTGAGTCACATACAATTGTGAAAAAGTTGAAAGCAGGCAAACAAACAAGAGATACATAATTAAGGAGACATTCCCTATGCACCTATGCTGCTGCCTTGCCATACTATAACCTTTGTACCATCTTTTGTTTCTTATTCCTGTGCCTTCGACATAAAGTGCGCCCCACCAACGTATAAAGCTGTCAAAACAAAGATAGGTCACCACTACTCATCACTTCATTATGGACGAGGCCAAATCTAATAACAATGGCATGTGAATTATACAATGTATCAATAGTTAAGATTTGTTTGCGCGTTAGTTACCACTCACCAGCTCATTTTGGATAAAAGCCAAGTGTAATAGTGTTCTAGATAAACGTTACGGACAGTTGCTTGCTTAAGTTGGAAAATTTTTGGCCGATTGAGTCGTTCGCATTCTGGTCACATGTGATCATATAGATAAATGTAACAACTTCTTAGAGAGATGATACAGACAATCCCATGTGCGAGTTTTCGACTTCTAACAGTTGATTCCATAATGCGATTTTTAATCATTGATACAAATATGTCTCATAATGCATCAACGGCCACACAAATAATCATGTATAGGCTTTATTTGATTGGCCCAAGTGTGAGCTACTCCTAAGTGGTAAACTAGGAATATTGGGCGAGACAAAAAGGTTCTTTAGACCATCAAGTTTTGCTTCCCCTTCCCTTGGTACAAGGAATATTGCCTGCTCCTCTTGTTTTGTTCATGCCTTTGGTTTGCCACCAGACCAGCTCACCCACAAGACACACACATAAAGCATAACTGCATATAATCGCATTGCGGACCATGTCGTGTCCTACTGTGGCGAATCGTTTTGCAACTGCCACACACACACACACACACATATATATATATATATATATTATACGCACATGTATATACACGTACATTCGTTGGGACAAGTGTTCCTTTCTTATGTCTTTTTTTATTGCGTACGATATGATTTGTTTGAAAGTACTTTTAAAATAATTGAAAGCGTGTTGGTGAAAATGTTTTTGAAAGAAACTCCTAAGCAAAAACACAAGAGAATATTGGAAAGACACTTAGGGGGTGTTTGTTTCCCCTCACTAAAGTTCACTGGACTGGACTAGACTAAAGATTAGTCTAATCCTGTGTTTGTTTCCCGGCTGAACTAGCTTGAATGGGATTAGCCAGGAGTCGTTTTCACTAACAATCTCACTAGCCGTTCTTAGCATGTCCCCTCGAAAACCATCGGACTAGCTAAGAACTTCTTCGTCCTGCTCGAATCACCTCCCCTACGTCGATTTTGATAGCACAAGCTTCGAGCACGGCTTCATCTCCGATGACGAACTCGTTGACTTTTTCATCTCCGACGATGACCTCGTCGACTGGGTCATCTCCACCATCTTCTTCTCCTTCGCTACTTCGCTATTGCCATCGTTTGTGGCTTTGAAGCTACTGATTTTGGATTTGCCTTCAACTTGCCTCCTCATCGACTGGGTCATCTCCACCATGAATGCTTCGCAATCTCAATAAATCAATTTTTGTTTTGGGTTTTTGAGTTTTTTTTTCTTTTGGTTTCTAGGGGTTTTTTTTTCCTGGGATTTGCAGGTTTCATTGGTTACTGGAAGGCTTGCCTTTCTTTTTGGAATCTCTGAAGGCTTGGCGAATGGTTAAGCAACAAATTCTCTTAATTAAAGAAGAAAAGCAAGAGATTCATGCATAATTTGATAGAGAGAAAATGATGGAGAAGAGAAACGAGGAAGGGTAAAGGAACGAAAGGGAAAGAAAATGTGCTTGGGTCCATTCATTTCCAGACTTCACTGCCCTTTAATTATTAATTTTTGTTTAATTTTTAAGCCAAAAGTGAATTAAAAATGGAAAAAAAAATATAGTCTGTGACTTAGTCCGACACTGCACCAAACACTTAACTAAGCTAGTTTAGCTTAGTCTAGTCTAAGCCAATCCAGTTTAGTCCCTGAAGCTAGTCCAGTCCGAGATAATACGGTGTAACAAACACACCCTTAAAGCGCTTCCCAAACACAAAAATGCAAGTGAACCCCAATCCAGATTTATAGCCCCTGAGAGAGCGAGAGAATTTGTTGGCAGAGCACATGTAACTTGCAAATTTGAAAGATCTTTATCAGGATAAGATGGTGTTACTTGGGTAGCGGTATTCAAAATATTCAGAAGCCCAATTCAGGATTTTGGGCCATAGGCTTAGGTTTGTATTTATCCTCTGCTAAACAGTTTTGGGAGGGATCAGCCCGGAGTCCGATCTCAAGCCAGGGCCATACCAAGTAAACTCATGCGTCTAATAAGCCCTTGGAGTTGTCCCGACTGCTGTAATGGGTTAAAATTAAGATACATTCAGAGTTCAATTCGCTCCAATTTACCAAAAGAAGCTCGTATGTTTAAAATGACACTAGTTTGGACGTCGAACATTTCTCTATAATTTCTCAATTTCGATACAAAAGGTTGGATGAAAGTACAATGGAGATACAAATGCCTTACGGTTAAAGTGAATTCAGTGGACTCAACTCTCTCTCGACTTGGACGGTCCAGTTTTGAGGTTAGAGAAGTAGGATCTGTACCTCTGTGCTAATCCAAACAAGCCTAGAGTGCCTCCAGTGTGAATCATCACCACCGTTGCACCTCCTTCTGCTTCCTGTTCACGAAGGATCGTTGCCATCTCCCACGCAGCGAGTGTATACACTGGATCCACCAAAATACCGGTTTGTTTTGCAATGTGTTGGCATGCCTCTACTTCCCCTTCTAAAACATTGCCAAACCTGACAGATATAGGGCAGGGTTTAACTTATATTACAGAAAACAGATGAATATATAAATGAAATATTGTAGAAGCTGTGGAGAGGATGACAGGCTACTTACTTTCTTGGATGGCGACGTTCTACCCAGTGCACGATTCCTCTATCCATTTCATCGAAGCAGCTATCAATTTGGGAACCAAAATGCCTCTTGAAATCGGAAATCAAGCGCTTCTCCTGATGTCTATACCCGTCAACTGTACCAGCCAGCATCACTGCGGTTACCTCCCATGGAAGCCTGACACGACGAAAAAGAAATAGTTTAAATGCGGCAATTGACAAAAGTCTGCTTGCACAAGAAGCTACGTTATTTAGATGACATTTTTAACATGTTTGAGAAATAATACGTATGAGAACATACCCCAAACATATGGCTCCAAGTGCTAAACCAACAGCAGTTGTCCCAGTTCCAGAATCTACAACAAACTTCAAGGGCCTCTCTTTCCCAAGTAAGTGATTCTGGGATAAGTACTGCACTAGGCGAATCAGACCTGAGAAAACAAATTAGGAGAAAGCAAGACCGAGCCGTCAAAGATGTGTGAAATTGCAGACATGAAACAAGGAGCAGGAATGTTGGGGGATTGGATTCAAAAATCAGATGTGCTTACTGACATCCAATAACTATATAACACCCCCTCCCCAATTAAAAGAATGCGGATATGTATACATGGAACCAAAAAGAGGTTTATTTATTCCTAAAGTTACGTTACCTAGTAATGCTACAACATCTCCTGCACCTTCGTTAACGATTGCAATTTTACAAGGACGGTCACTCTTCCAAGCATCCGTTTGCAAAAAATTCTGAGAACCATCATCTTCTCTCAAAGAAGCCTCCAAAATATCATCGAACCATACGACACTACTACTACTGCCTGCCAAATCATCAGCATGGCTCTTTAGCATCTTTTCCCTGTTGGCATACAGAGATCTCGGAACATACGTGACACTTCCATACATTGTTGAAATCAAGTTACAGCCGGTCAGTATTTCTGGCTGCTCCCCTCGTAGAAGCAAGTGTGGTTTAAGTCCTCTCTCTGAACATGAAACAGCTGCAGAACACAAAAATGGCCATATATGAGCAAGGATGCACATAGCTCTTTACACCAAAATTGCAGCTATATCCCATAGCAATTGCAGCTAGAAACTACCTACCAACAGCTGCTGTATGTGCGCTTTGACAGCCTCCGCATGTGACCTACACAATAAAAAAAAAACGTAGCTGAATGCCATTTGGTCTCGAAAGGAATTCAAATTCAACAAATCACAATCCTGAAAGTTGAACACAATATGCATGATGCAATGTAATCATCCCTCACAATCTTAGAAGGATCAGAATCTCACCACATGAGTCACGGAATGATCTTCCACGAGGGGAATCAGCGCGTCCAACTTTCGCGCTTTATTACCATTTATCAACGGATGCAACAAATCATCCCTCACAACAAAAAAAGAAGGTTCTTGATCATTCTTGCTCATCATAAAAGATGGGTTGGTATTGTTGGAGAAGGAAACATCAGACAAGGCTTTGGCTGGCTCTGCTACTTTGTTGCTAGAAAACACTATTTGGTGAATTTTGGCATCAGGGGCAGGCAATGCCCATCTTCTATCAAGCAATTTTGACACAAAATCTCCACCACGCAAATTCAAATTGGAAACACACTGCCAAATTGGGGCAAAAATAAAACACTCATCAATCTGCAACACGTACGACATTATAACAATTTAATTAAAATCCGAAGTCATGAGCATGCAGGACCGATTAAATTAAACAAAGGGTTATCGTTTTAATCCAACTTTAATCCAGAACTAATATGCAAAATCCAAAATTTAGTCCAACCCATTACTTGCAACAGAAAGCTTAGCCTGGCTTCAATGGTGAGAGGTAGAGAGAGAACCTGAATCCGACGGCCTTTCGAAACGACGCCGGAGTGAAAGCCGCGGTTAATTGCTGCCGAAATCGCGCTCTTACTGGTAAAGCATTCAACTTTCATCCTCATCACACCAGCAGATAATTGGAAGGGGATGATGAACTGGAGTTGGAAAACAAAAAACGTCACAAGATATGGCGCGTTTTATTATTAACCGTACGATGACAAGCCTTAAAGATCGAACGGCGGGAAATGGGCTTAGGGTCCCACCCGGTTTAAGGTTTTATCAAATTTACCGTCTCATCCAACACTAAAACCCCCAAAAATGAATCCTCGCCGCGCCAGTATCGGAACGTCGCCGGAGGCGCTCTGGAAGTCGGGTCGGGGCTCCAAGAAGATGAGCTTGCCCGCGCTTCAGTCGAAGATGAAGTGCGACCCGGAAGAAGGCATGGAAATGAGGCCCGTTGTATTCCGTTTTCAAGTAAATTGTTCGAATGCTTGTGCAGTTTGAACTTTGAACACACGATGCATGTAATGGTAAACGCTCTTAGCCACGTAACGCCCGATCTGATAGGCAATGCCTGTTTCTAAGGAGTCTCAACAACATTTATTTACATTAGATCCCACCGTTCTTGCATTTCACCCTCCTTTTGACGAAAACCAAATTCGTCACGTGACAAACATTTATTGGATGAACAGTTCACTTTTTAAACTCGTAACATTACTTTTTAAACATGTAACATCACAGTATATCGTTTTTAACCAAATCCCGGTAAGAATTTTACCATGAAACAAAGCATGCTCCAAAGTGGAACATTAACGCTGACCAGGAGGAGCTCCATGGGGGATGTCATGTCCCAAATGAAGGCGTAGAGAAGACAGAAACCATTAGCAAACTATCATTACGGCACCAAGGTTTTTTTCCATGACACAGCCTACATTAAACTCGGATTTAGGGTGGAAGAAGCGAAAGATAACCATAATCTAATACAACAAAGGTCGGGCCGAGAGATGCCTTACTCTTCACCAGAACACGAAGGCAAATCGCTACTCTGGCCAAAAATATCAGGAATTCCATCCCAGTTGTTCTCCCTAGTTTCCCAATACCCTCCCACATAACTATAACAACCCTCCTCGTCTTTCCGAAACCATCTTGGCTGCCACCCTCTCTCTTGCAACTTCCTTGCCTGCACAGAATTATCAACAGTTGCTAAATACAATTTCAGAATAGAATATAAGTTTACAAATAAATTACACTGCATACAGGAGCCCATCAATGCCCCGAAAACACCAGGGAAATGGCTTTAGCAACAAATTCAGTTTAGAGCTGAGTCCTGAATCTCAAACTCTCAAGATCATTGGCCAGATATGAGATTGAAGTCATTTTCATTTCAATTAAATTCAAGCGGACATTAGGTTCGCAATTAGAAGCAAGAATGCATGAAAAGAGGAAGATGAATGGATGAATAACGGATCAAAAGGAGAAAGAGGATGTACAGGGGGGTACCTGTCTTTGAAGCTGTTCAAGTCTTAGCTTCTCCGCATTTGCCAATTCATATTCACCATTCTCCAAATGTCTTTGATCTGGCCTTAGCCTTGAGTCCGTCGGCGGTAACTTCTCCAATAAGCCAGGTGTCAGTTCATTAAGGGATATTGCAAAAGGGGAGAAATTGTATCTTGTCTTGGTCACATAGTCATCTCTTTCCCAGAGAAGCACCGCCTCTGTCATTGGATCATAACCCTTTGGTTTTGTAGTTGGATCTCCCAGCACATAGTACATTGCCTCATCCCACTTACCCACCAACATCGCTACATTCTCTCCAGTTCTATTGTCTTGAACAAATCCATGAACCTGAAATTTCATGAATTTATGTAAAGCCCAGCAATGTCTAAAGACTAAGTGTAACATAAACATGAAAATCGGGCAGCAATTGAAAGCTATTGTTCTGGGGAGAATTTAGACTTTAGCCAACCTGATGTGGATTTCGGTCTATGATAGACTGCTCCTTGAACTTTAGCTTGCAGGAATAATTGCCACTGCCCCTGATGCGCATGGTGCCATAGTGGTCACAATAAATTTTTCCTAGTATGATATTGTATATAGAGGTAGTGACCTTGCTCCACTGAAATGTCTCCCCATCCTCAAACTGCAAGGAAAGGGTACCCACAGGATCAAGCTGAATAGAACGCCCCCAAAACTTGCCCTTGAGATTGGAGTCCGCCCAGAATTTCCAACCTCTTCCTTCACAATGACAAGCAACAACCATTGGGTGGTGACTCACCTGAGTGCAAGCTTGTCCTTGTTAGCCAACAATCAATGGTTCATAAACATTTGACAATTATCTGTGATGCTTCAAATTCAATGAGTCCTAACAACACAAAGCAACTAAGAGGCTACTTTTATCTTTTACCGCTCTTCAGACTTAATGGACAGAAATCCATTTAAAAGGGTGCTACTAGACATCAACACTAAAAAATTTGTCAACGTGCATTACCTTTTCAGAGAAAAAACGAAGTCCTTTATCTGGATAGTCAGCCTCATAGGTCTCCCCGAGGAGAGGATTAAAGGGTTTGCACTGCCGACCTTCTGTTGATGCATAGCCAGATACAGCAAAAGCTGCAACGTTTAGAATTCTCATTAAATCATTCCCCTGCACCACATGAAGTCCAAATTAATTTAAGAACTCAAACAACATGGTCGGGAAGAGTAAGCCTGGAGCTAAGGCTAAGATTTGAAGACTATGAACAACACTCCCTTGCTCCAAATTAATTCATGTTCCAAAGTGCAGACAATTAGGTGATGCATAGAATGGGACAGCAGAGGACCTTACCTGCTTTCCCCATTCCGATGCTCGATCAACCAAGTTTGAATATTCCAGATCTTCAAAGCACTTTTGCAACGATGAGAGTGGTTCATTAAAATAAACAGGAAGGCAAACTCCAGACAAGTCCTTCCCAATATTATCCTTGATAATCGACCACAAGCCAATATGCTTCTCTTTCTCCTTGGGTTCTGGCAAATCATCCCTCCTTTTCACGTATGGATATTTAATTGTCTTGATCTTCTCAAGTCCACGCAATCGATCAGAAAAGAAAGAATCTCTTTCAAATATACAACCATTTCCCAAACCTTCCCTGCTCCGGTAGGAAGCACTTCTTAGAGCATCTGAAGACAAAATAATTCATATCAAATTATGTTTCTTTAACTAATCAGAAAGAAAGAATCTCTATTGTATACACACCATTTCCCAAGCCTTCTCTATTCCGATAGGAAGCACTTCTTAGAGCTTCTGAAGACAAAATGTCATATGTATCAAAATATGTTCCTTCATCTTCATCTGTTTCAACATCTGCCCCATCTTGACTTTCGTTATCTGCATCAGAATCACTTGCACTACCCTCAGATAAGACGGAGTAGAAATCTGTGGCATGAGCAAAACCATAATACAGTCAAAACTAACGGTCAAAATTAAATATTCATTGATAATAAATCAGAAACTAGTATGTGGCTTGAAACATTTTTAGCACTACCGAAACTTAAATCATCATTATACATCTCATATTTGAAAACATTTGAGTTCAACAAAATACTAGGATAATGGAAAGATAACCGACCACTAAATCTCCTATCCCCCTGTCCGTATGACTCACGCTCCTTTGTTTCATCCACTACTGTAGTTTCCAGCTCTATTTTTTCTGTCTGCAAAAGGAAATTTAGATAGGGATTTACTTTCCGACTAGCAAGCTTTCCACCACCCTTATTGCAGCACATGTATAAAGCAGAAACTTAGTGATTAAATGCATGGAAATACCTCTAATTGCCTCAATGACTCCAACAGCATCACATGTTTACTCTGAAGACCCTTCAACTGATTTTGAAGCTCTGACACTTCTAAGAGCATAATTGACTCGCATTCTTTGATCACTGGCTCACCAATTCCCTCCTGTGTTAATCTTAGCCTTAGCTTCTCTGTCGAAACAACTATATCTTCCGAAGGTACCAAATCATTGCTCGTAAACACTCTAGGGAAAAGATCTTTAGCACCCAGCAGTGCGTCAATCCATGTAGCTCGGTCCTCTCTGGTCACACACCGCAAGTGAAGAGTTTTAGTTCCTGTGAATATGGAAAGCCGTTTATCATCTGATTTGCTGGCACGAATTGAAGAGACCTGTAAACCAGACCACTTCGAATTCAGTAACCAAAAACCAAAAACTCAAAAGTACAGACCATGCGCATTCGAGCACGCATTTTTATGCATCATCAAACAAAACACAAGCATTCGTCTCAACGTATTCGAGTTTTTGTTGGTCCTTCAAGATTGATGAATACTTTTGGTGGGTATCAATCAATGTTTTTTAAGAATTCCATGAAAAGTATAGGAATAACATTTTCTGTAGCTTTCGACTCCCACCACTCACATTACAAATATACAAACTCAGCAAAAGGACCCAGATAGTAGCAAAAAATAAACTCAATGCATACATACTTCTGATTTACTAAATATAGCATCAGCTAAAAATAGCATTGCTTACTATATCCCAAACAATGGCTTCACATTTCTGTGGTAAGCAAAAGCTCATACCTTCAAATGCACTTCTCCGAAAGGCTTCCACGGCCTCGCCGGACCTCCGAGCCGATTACTGCCCCAATTCGCCTTCTTCATGTACCTCAGCGAGTTCTCTCCAATCACCCTCAATCCCTTCTCTCTCACCTGGCTCACCAAAATCTTGTCCGGTCCATGAACCTTGTAGTACGAAAACACGCCGTCTTCGAGCATAAACCACCGCGACCGCCACCCCTTCCCGTAGTTCACCCACTTGTACAAAATCCCCGCCAAGCTGCCGCTCACGCCGCCGCCAAACACCTTCGAATCCCTAGCTTCGCTGATCGTATCCTCAACCTCGTGGCCCGCCGCGGCGGAAGCCCTGTCCGATTCGGTCCCGGCCGTCGAGACCTGAGCCGAGTAGCTCGGCTTCGAGCCGCAGCTGACGTTCCGGATCGGAGCCTCCGAGCCTACCTGGCACTGACCCGACTGCTTCGCCGCCACCGGGGTGCCCCGGTCCCGATCGATCGAAACCGGCGCAATGCAGCACAGCGGGTTCATCTTCAACCCAATCAGACCATCCAATCAGACAAAAAACGAATCCGATCCTTGCAATCCTTATCCCATGCACATGCAGCGCCGATCACACAGCTCCGATTTGTAGAAATGCAGGACCCGATCCGAAGCGAAAACGAACCGTTTCGGAAATGACATAAAATTCTCGGAGCTTCTGGTTCTAGAGAGAGAAAGTAGAGAGAGAGAGAGTTATGAAGAGCTCTACTCACACAGGTCCATTAAGACACTTCTGCTGCTGCTGCTGCTGCTCAGTAATTACATATTTAAATAACTTAAATTAATTTAATTAACAGCTAAAAAATGGCGTGATTAAAATAATTAATGGCGCAATTAATGTAAATGCATGGGGTTTGGTTTATGGGTTTTTGGGTTGGGGAGGCATAATTGTGGGTGGAGGCAGAGAGGGGACAGCTAACGTGCGCGTTTGTGCGCAGGTGCTAGTGATTGCTGTTGTCCGGTGGGAATTATGAATCTCCCTTGTGAAATTATGGCACTACCCTTGTATGTTTGGCGGGTGTGCAGTCAGTGGATGGGGATGTTTTGGATAATTCGGAGGTTTTTGAAAGCGACGAGTGAACGGACGGACCGGGGTGTCCGTGGAGGGAACGGGGGAGTGGTCGGGTGGGCTGGAGAGCATCGTGGACGGTGGAGCTTCGGGCCAGTTGGGCAATCGATGTGCTTACCGCGAGTGGCTGTTGTTGACTTGCAATCAATAAATATGTTCAAATTTGGGCTAACTGGATTGGCTGTCTGGTTGTGACAGAAATTTTTCAGTTTGAACGAAACATAGAACGATACAAATTACATAGTCGGAGAGAAAATTTTTTTTCTTCAATTGTATAATAACATGTATGTCATGGCATACGTCTCTAGAGATGCCAAACTAATGAGTAAATTGTAGTTTCTTCAATTTTAATTGAATTAGAGCAATAATTATTTAAGTAAAAATCTATTACCATTAATCCCTTAATTCATCAGAATCTGCAGTTCGTGAACTCTGTAAAAATTTTCTTCAAAATACCACTCATTTTAACTTTTTGAAAAGCATAGAAAATGCGTTCCATAATTCCATATTATTTGATTGATCAGTGGATCCACTAACTAACTAATTGACAAAATTAAGGTAATGATTCGATTTGCAGCACGATTAGACCTCAAAGACGACGACAATACAGTTTGTTATTAGGAAAGGGGACAACTTGCGGCCACGTGGTTGGATGGTTGGGCCTTTGAGGCCCTCGTTTGAGGGTTTCAGGTTGGGCTATGGCTAGTGGGACCAAGGCCTGTACGAATTGCTGTAAGTTGGCCCAGCCAATTCTGGCTTTGTCTTTGCTTTTTCAGCTTTATTTGTAAAATTACCTTCCTTGGAGGGACAAAATTAACTGCACCAGTCACCGCCCCTTTGGCACTAGTCTTAATGATATAATAGGCACCCCTACCTAAGAAGAAAACCACTATACATGAGAAAACTTTTCCGATATCATGTTGTATTCACTTTAACGTGAAATATATTATAGTTTTAGATTTTGTGAAGTACTTTGTATGTTTTTTCACTTTTACTTTTGAATTTGAAATATCGTCTTCTAATAGTGAGAACAAATTTACAATTGAATTAATAGCTAGATGATAAGTTTGTATAAATAATGATTAATACTTGTTGAGAGAAAAAAAAAATTCACCTTTTGTTGTTGGCTCCTGTTTTGACCATGTGGTCAGTGACCACCTTTCGTAACAATCTTTCTTGATCCCTTCCTTCTCTCCTTTTATTTTACTTTGGTCATTGGTGCTGAATCCTTATCATAAAACGCTAAAGTCGTTAGGATTCTAGTTTGTTAGCACACATACACATCCAACACAAGGTATTGGCTCTAGTTGACAGCTTCGATATGGATTTGGAGATGCACAAAGTGTGGAAGTTGTCGAATTGCATAGGTTTAGCCAGTACGGTGCTATGACTCACATCGGAATGCGGAGAGGACGTGGGGCGGCGATGCCATTTGGTTCTTTAGTTTTGATTCTGTTTTTTAATAATTTTCATAAACTTTATTGGTTCCTATTGTTTTCTTTAGGAAAGTTTTGTTCTTTTTAATTTTTGTGTTGGATCTCTTTCATATCTGTGTGAAGAGGTGGAGCTGCAGGAAGTTGAAAGGAAGACTCTCACCACTAGAGTAATCCACCATTTATAAAAAAAATATCAATTTTGTATGTACATTGCTCAAAACTAAACAATTCACATCAATAAAAAAAAAAAAAAATCACAATGATCCCTACAAAATGTCTCGAAAAAATTTTAATTTGCGAAAATTTGTCACACATTACACTGATGCTACTTAGTGTTTGCACCTAGAAATTTCACATGCACTCTAAATTTTTTTATATTAAAAAAAAAGCACATAAAAATGCGAAATAAAAATTTTAGAATGTCAATACAACACCTACACATTAATACACAACTCAGTCCTATCATGATTGTAGTAATTTTTGTTCACAAGTTTCGGCCAAAAAAATCCAAGATCGTGAATGTCGATAATGTTCGGTAAATCGAATTTTTACAGCAAATTTACAAACTAGGTGATGTGTCACCGATATAAAAAGCACTTTGATTAACAGTTAAATAATAATCCAATCTAAAAATTATGTCATATAATTTATAAAGTTTGGTCTAAATAATTTACCCTAAAGTTTTTTAGGAAAAACTAATGAAAATAAATTGAAAACTTTAAATTTTAATAAAAAAGAAAAAAATATGTTGTAAGTAAATCATATCATAAGTTACATTTTAAAATAAAAATATTATTTTCATTAAAAAATAAATAGTACTGTAAATTTTTTTATTAAAATCCTTCGAATTTTCTTCCACAAAATGCACAAAGTACAATACAACTATACAGATATACAATTCACCGACAGTACCATTTCGCTACACTACAACAAGTCCACGGGCCCCACGACTGGGTTCCGACCGGAGGCAAAATTGGATCAGAATCCTCTCTCCTGATCTAAGGATGAGGATCCTTCTAATCAAGGAATTTGGATCGTTGGATGAAAATTTAACGGCTATAAACAGGGAGATCCTTTAAAGTTATAATAATTATAACCGTTAGATTTTCATCAAACGGTCTATGTTCCTTGATCAGGAGGATCCTCATCCTTAGATCAGGAGAGGATCCTGATCCGGCAAAATCTGACCCGTCGCTCCATCCCATCAGCGAACAAATCCAACGGCCCCAAACCAACGTTCTATTTCAGAACCAAACAACAAAACGTAACCGGCCAAAAAGAGAAGCCCCAAAAGAGAAAGCGAGAGGGGGGTCGACGTTGTTTGATTGCCAATAAAAGCATCGAATCGGAGAAAATTTGCCGAAGCTGCAACGATGATGATGCAGTCGACGAGAGCTGCCGCCATTGAAATGTTCAGCTTCTGCGTCTGTCACTGAAATGGGTGGGGCACCAATCGCAATCACCAACTGCCGTGAGCTACCGAGCTGTTCGTTGAGCCGCCGCTTTCGCTTCCGATCCAAGTCTGCGTCGCCATCATCAGCACCACCACCAGCTTCCACTTCGTGCTTTTCTTTCCCGCGCTCTTCAAAGCTATGATCATTTGCCTCGCACCCTCTATTGGATCTCAGCTGCAGATCCACCTCCGTAATAATCAAAGCCAATACCAGTTTCAAGCTCTCTCATGGACCCGGCCTCTCGCCCAGCTGTAGTCATCGACAATGGAAGTGGGTACGTAATTAAGCTCGAAAACTGTTCGGCGAAATGCCCCAATTGACTTTTCACTCTTGTTTTCCGATTGAATTTGGAGTTGCACGTATTGCCCCCCACCTGTTTGTTACAATTCCCAGGAGGATTTTGCTCTAATATGTGCATTTGCATCCATATTTTGTAGGTATACTAAGATGGGTTTCGCTGGAAATGTCGAGCCGTGTTACATTGTTCCGACTGTAGTTGCCTTAAATGAATCGTTTTTGAACCCGTCCAGAACGTCCTCCAAGGCCGGCTGGGTAGCGCAGCACAATGCTGGCGTGATGGCTGATCTTGATTTCTTTATAGGGGATGAGGCACTGGATAGATCTCGATCTAGTACGACTTACAATCTGAGCTATCCCATTCGACAGGGCCAGGTCGAGAATTGGGATTCAATGGAGCGGTTCTGGCAGCAATGTATATTTAACTACTTGCGTTGTGATCCTGAAGACCATTATTTTCTTTTAACTGAGAGTCCGCTTACTGCCCCGGAGAGCCGGGAGTACACGGGCGAAATCATGTTCGAAACTTTCAATGTTCCTGGCCTTTACATTGCCGTGAATTCAGTACTTGCTCTTGCAGCTGGTTACACTACCTCTAAGGTTGGTATTGAAAGTTCAAGATGTTTATTGTATTATTTCATGTTATGAGATATGTGTTACCCGAAGTGCTTAGTAATGTGTGTTATCTCGATCGTTTCCTCTTTGATTGACCTATAATTTCTTAGTGTGAGATGACAGGGGTTGTAGTGGATGTTGGAGATGGTGCAACTCACATTGTACCTGTTGCAGAAGGTTATGTTATTGGGAGCAGCATCAAGTCGGTTCCTATTGCCGGGAAAGATGTCACTCTATTCGTCCAGCAGCTTATGCGGGTATGCTGTATTCCATTCCTTTCTTATTCTTATTACCTTTGTTGTCATCATGAAAAATGATTAGCTAGGGTTAGCATTTGGAACCGGACAGTATTGCGTATGAACTTTGAAAAATTTCATCCATAATGCAATTACACAATATGGCTAATTAAGAGTACTTAAGGTTTACAGATAGAGTGTTTGTGAGCTAATGCTTCTTGCATTATCTTCAGGAAAGAGGCGAGAATGTGCCACAAGAAGACTCCTTTGACGTAGCTCGAAGAGTGAAGGAAATGTATTGCTATACTAGTTCTGACATTGTCAAGGTGAACTTTACTTCCATGACCATAATAAGTTTTGAAGACCTTGGTACAAATTGGTGCAATTTTTCTTATACCTGTTGTAAATTGTTATGAGCGACTAAGTATTTTGCAAGTTCACAACTACTCGTGTTACTTGGTTCATTTGTGTGAGTTTATATTCTATTTGGATATTGTTTTGATGACAAACTCTTGTTTCTCTAATGATTGCAGGAGTTTAATAAGCACGACAAAGAACCTTCCAAGTATATTAAGCAATGGAGAGGCATTAAGCCAAAGACAGGGGCGCCCTACTCTTGTGACATTGGCTATGAACGATTTCTGGGTCCAGAGGTTTACTTCCCCTCCTCCCTGAAACTTCCTCTTTTCTTTGCCTAGTAGGAAAATTGCTCCCCAATTTCTACAATCACTGCTTGTTATCTCAGCTAATCTGTCTCAAATTTTTAACAGGTTTTCTTCAATCCTGAGATTTATAGCACGGACTTCACCACTCCCTTACCGGTTGTAATTGACAAGTGTATTCAGTCTGCTCCAATTGACACCAGGAGGTCTTTGTATAAGGTGAAGTAGGCTTCGAAAGAAGTTTATAAATGGGATGTGTTTTAATTGAAGAAATAAGAATTAATATGCTGTATAGCTACAATTTGGTTGTTGGACATTGTAAGTTTGTAACGGTGTTCAGGATCTATTACGGAATGATCTTTGGACACTGGTTGAATACAGTCTCTTTATTTTTGCCTTAATATCTGAGTACTGTTTTCTACAACTTCATTTGACTGTACATACATTGGGTCGTAGTTGTTTTTAAACTCTAGCACTAATTTCCTCCTATATTCATAGTCCGGTGCTTGAATTGTTTTAAGCTCTAAGGTCCAGACCTAGTCCCATACAAATATTTTTATTCATATGTAAAATAGTTGGTTATAGTACTATGACCTCATGTAATTAGTTATCTTCGTTCTTGTATTTAAGATTTCTTGATGCAATTTATTGATTTAGTCATATTATTGTTACTGTTATTCTCAGAATATAGTGTTGTCTGGAGGTTCAACCATGTTCAAGGACTTCCATAGGAGGTTGCAACGGGATATAAAGAAGATTGTTGATGCCCGGCTTCTTGCATCTGAAGCTCGAGTTGGCGGTGAAGTAAAAGTAAGCATTTTAATATTAAATGTGTGTGCAATGTGTATTTGTCTATAAACATATTTACATATGCAGTGTATTTACAATACATGAGTTTGATTTTTATTTTGTTATGGGCATTCAGTCACAGCCAGTGGAAGTGAATGTAGTTAGTCATCCCATCCAGAGATTTGCAGTTTGGTTTGGAGGCTCTGTACTTGCATCCACACCTGAATTCTTTGCGGTATGAATTTCTTCTTCTAATCTGTGGGCATGACGATTATGAATTTCTTTCCATCTCATGTTACACTTCGATCTATATGTTGGACCTATTTGTAGTAACTTTCGTATCTCCTTTGAGTTTCCCTTGTATTTATTTATGTAATTATGCGCACTGATTACCATCTCCTCAGATTTGAAAACATTTTCGTTAATCTATGATACCTTGAGTCCAGTTATTCAACCTTCGAATGGCATGAAGGGGAACTTAACTGATCATGGAGGATGAGATCTCCTCCTCTCCAAAATCATACAAAGAATCGAATTTGATTTTGATAGCAACCTCAGCATTTGATACTGAGCTTTCACCTTCTTTCATGTTTATATTTAAAACTGCCGAACTATCATTCTTCTGTTGCTAAATTCTTGTTGTATACTGAGAAATTTCTATTGGTACAGGCTTGCCATACAAAAGAAGAGTATGAGGAATACGGCGCAAGCATATGCAGAACAAATCCTGTTTTCAAGGGGATGTATTGATGCAAATATCGATTTTGGCTGGACCACTTGCTGGCAATTCCTGATAAAAATGGTATTCCCCGTCAATTCCACCTCCTACATGCTCAGTAATTTTACTTCCTGAATCTGCCTGGTCAGATGTGTACTCATGTGCTGCTAGGGGCAGTGTAAAATATAGTTTCTCAGTTGTTAATTTTGTAAGAGAAATTTCATTAGGAGGCAATAGGTCTTCCTAAAAGCAGATAGGAAAATAGTCTACAGTGTTTTTTAGTCCGAGTGGCCCCTGAAGGATCAGACGAGAATCATGATGTGGGTGGACATGAACCTGCCTGAAATATGCAGTTTTGATGTTCAACTTAGATAGATAGAGTTTGCTTAAGATTGTTACACTGTAGTGCATTTCCGGTAGGTAGTTTGATTCTTTCGGATTGGATTGGATTGGATTGGATTGTTGTAGCACAATAATTTCTAATTTGAGTTCAAATATATTTCTATTTCAAGACATTTGTTACAGAAAACACTGATGCGGTTGTATCTCAAATCTAGCACGCACCATCAAAAATTTAAACTTGCTGACGTAGTTTCGCATAATTCAGTTAAGATTTCGTAACTTTGAGATTTCAATTGTACGTAAATATTTTTTTTCGGAGAATGGAAGTTTACTGGTGTAACTTTTTTAAGACAAGATATTGTAGGAGATGCATGTAACTTCTGGAATACCGTATGGGATGTGACTTCATGATGTCCTTTCTTCTTATAGTCTTCCTCCCTCATAAACAGGGAAGGACGATCGGAGACAAGACATTAAGACGACATGATAGGAGTTGATAAAATGTCAATTGCATTCACTCCAATTTATACGATGTCACTCTCTCCACGCTTCAAAACTTAAGCAGAAAATAAAGCGGTCGATAAAAGTAAAAGAGGAAAAACAAAATTTGGTAAGAAAATATTTGAAGTGCTTTTTAATAGAAGCCTTGTTATGGAACATGGGTTTTTTTTTTTTTCTTTCTTTTTTTGCTCTTTTCTTCCTACAAACTATAGAATAAGCTATATTAAACTCCAAGGATGTGGATTGGAAAAGGGAACCTCGAGAGCAAGGACGATTGCTCTTAATTAATTAATTGTGTTACAAGCTACTTGCATTATTGAATTTGAAATTGCTTTTAAATAAAAATGTTTTCTAAAGAACACTTTGAAATGAAGTAAAACGAGCGTGAGCATTTTAACATATCAGAGCTCTTTTTGAAAGTGTTTTTAAAACGGTCGAAAGCGTTTCTGATTAAATTGTTTAAGGACCAATCCTAAATAAAAATGAAAGTGAATCATGAAAAAACATTTATGCTTCTTGCATAAAACACTTTAATTGTTTTTGAAACCTAAAAACATTTTCTGTAAAAACACTTTTAGTCATTTTAAAGCACTTTCAAACGAGTCTCCTAATTTGTTGGCCAAATAAGAAAAAAATCTTAATTTTTAATATAACACAAGAAAAAAAAAACAGCATGGGTTCAAATTCTGTCGGGTTTTAATCTAACACCTAATCTAACAAATTTATCGTTTGAAAAAAAAAAAAAAAAAAAACAAAACAAGAAAAAACTAAAACAAAGTTACAGTTGAGAATTAACAGGAATTTACAGACCACCGAAAGAGAAGAAGGGTGGAAACTTTGACTCGATCGAATGGAATGCGTGTATGGTATCACTGTGTGTGGACATTGCGTAGAAAATAAATATTAAAAATCCAAACACAGATAGGAAGAAAGGGAATCGCTTAGTTGATGTTTGTTGATGTTGATGAGAACTTGAGAAGACGCAGCTGCTGCTGCTGCGAGTCTGTCGGACGCTTCGGTACTAGTAACACTAGCTCAGCCTGAGAGAGATATCATCTGTAAGACAACAACAACAACATCCTCTGCAAATCGAACATGTTGGAATCCCCTTGTCCCATGATTCTTTGTTTCCATTTTCTCCTATGCATTGTCTGTCAAATCTCGTTAAGCTAAGTGTTGTTATAAGGTCAAATCTTGGTGGGTGTTTGTGTTTTCTGTTTCTTCTGTCAGATTTGCAATTTCATTTCTTTCCTGCGATTCTGTGAACCGCGTGTGCTTGGGTTAATCTGATATTTAATTAATGTAATTATCCTGTGATTTGTCAAGCGGATTATGGTATTTCTGATTTAGGTTTTGATTTATCTTTTTCCCAGCAATTTCATGAGATGGGTAGTTGGTGGGCGGTGGACATTTTGTTGCTGCTGTTGTTTTCTTTAGATCGTGTTATTATCTTTTTGTCGTCGATGATGATCGAAGTTATACTGTTTTGAATTTGATTAGTTGATGATGGAAGATGGGCTGTTTTGTATTTCATTTGTTGCTAAATATGTTGTTACAACTTCCTTGTATCCTCATAGTTTCATAGTTGTTACCTCGTTTTCATGCTGTATATCCGAGGTAGAAGAACCGATTTGAATTTTCAGGTCCTCTTCTTACTTTCTGTGGTTAACTTATGTTTGGATTCGGATCTGTATCTATCTGTATATCTAGTTTGCAGTATGAGATGGGTCTAAGGACGGTTCTTTTTCTTGGTTATGTATTATATAGGTAGAGATAGAGATTGGTCAACTCGACGTCGAGTATATATTAGTTGGCCTAGATGGATCCGATGGGTGATGAGCAAATAGATTATGAAGATGAGGAATATGGTGGGTCTCAGAAGCTTCAGTATCAGGGAAGTGGAGCCATCTCTGCGCTTGCAGATGAAGAGGCGATGGTAGAAGATGATGAGTACGATGATCTGTATAATGATGTTAATGTTGGAGAGGGTTTCATGCAGATGCACCGATCTGAGGCACCAGTTCCACCTGGTGGAGTTGGCAATGGAGGACTCCAAGCACAGAAAACTAATGTTCCTGAACCAAGAGCTCAAGCTGGTGTCTCTCAGGACCTGAAAATTCCTGGGGTTTCAGTTCAAGGGAAGTATTCTGGTGCTGGAGCCCAGTTTCCGGAACAGAATCAGCCACTAGTGGCGAAGGAGCCAGAACTGGGATCCACAGGTTATGTGGGTGGGGCTTCTGGATCACAGAAGGGGAGGGTTATGGAGATGACTCATGATACTCAAGTCAGACAAATGGGGTTTCAGGGGTCAACAACTATACCCCCAAATGTCAGTATTGATTCTTCTGATATTACCGGAAAAGGTAATAGTGAGTTTATTCCGTCACTGAATCCTGGCACTGCTGGTCCTCCGGGAGCTGCACCGATACCGACTAATCAAATGAGTATCAAGATAAATGCTAATCGTCCAATGGTTAATGAAAACCAAATCCGGCCACCAATTGAGAATGGTTCGGCTATGCTGTTTGTGGGAGAACTACATTGGTGGACAACTGATGCTGAGATCGAAAGTGTTTTATCTCAGTATGGAAGGGTCAAGGAAATTAAGTTTTTTGATGAGAGGGCCAGTGGTAAGTCCAAAGGGTATTGTCAGGTTGAGTTTCATGATCCAGCTGCTGCAACTGCATGCAAAGAGGGAATGGATGGTTATGTTTTCAACGGGAGAGCTTGTGTTGTAGCTTTTGCTTCTCCGCAGACCTTGAAACAGATGGGAGCTTCTTATTTGAGCAAATCACAAGGCCAGGCTCAGGCTCAGCAACCAGGAAGAAGGCCCATGAATGATGGTGTTGGGAGGGGGGCAGGTGTGAATTTTCAAGCGGGAGACACAGGAGGGAGGAATTTTGGAAGGGGTGGATGGGGACGAGGTGGACAGGGAGGAAGAGGTCCTGGAGGTGGAGGACCAATGAGGGGAAGAGGAGGGGCCATGGGTGTGAAGAATATGGTTGGGAATCCTGCTGGTGTTGGAACTGGCGCTAATGGAGGAGGCTATGGACAGGGTCTCGGGGGTCCTGGATTTGGTGGTCCTGTAGGAATGATGAATCCTCAGGGTATGATGGGTTCTGGATTTGATCCAACATATATGGGTCGAGGAGGTGGTTATGGAGGGTTTCCAGGTCCTGCCTTTCCTGGAATGCTTCCTCAATTTCCTGGTGTTAATACAATGGGACTTGCCGGGGTGGCTCCTCATGTAAACCCAGCATTCTTTGGCAGGGGAATGGCAGCTAATGGGATGGGGATGATGGGTTCTTCTGGAATGGAGGGACATCATGCAGGGATGTGGAATGACCCAAGCATGGGGGCCTGGGGAGGAGAAGAACATGGTCGAAGAACTAGGGAGTCAAGTTATGGTGGTGATGATAATGCTTCTGAGTATGGATATGGTGACACAAATAATGAGAAAGGAGCAAGGTCAAGTGCTGCCTCAAGGGAAAAAGAACGGGGATCTGAGCGTGACTGGTCAGGAAACTCTGAGAGGAGGCATCGTGATGGTAGAGAACAAGACTATGAAAGGTCTGAAAGGGGGGAGCACAGGGAGCATCGTTACAAGGAAGAAAAAGATAGTTATCGAGACCATCGGCAGAGAGATCGTGACGGGGTTTATGAGGATGACTGGGACAGAGGTCAGTCTTCTTCAAGACCTCGTAGTCGTAGCAGGTCCAAAGCAGTGCCAGAGGATGATCATCGGTCTAGATCAAGGGATGTTGATTATAAGAGGAGACGGTTGCCATCTGAGTGACAGAGTTAGATCGTTACCTTCTATGGCAGGTCTTTGAGAGACTGCAGAATATAAATTCTGACTATTACTATATGTAGCTTTTGATACGTACAGTGAATCTGCATTCTTCCTCTGGGCTTCACCGGGCCTACTGCCTACCAATAAGCGTGGTTTCTTGAAGGAGAAGTAAGTTCTACCAGTGTGCATAGGAGGGAAGGATCAGTTCCCCCTTTGCTTTATTATACTGCTTTCCACAGAACATTTAGCTGTCACTATTAATATTTGTGTGCTTAAAAACAATTAGAAACTTTTAGTAGCATACCAATGAAGATATAGCTGTGGGGTTTGGCTACTCATTTCCTGCAGTAGTATCTTCTTGGTTTAATAACTATGCTACCTAGTTTCTTCAAGACAATTGCTTTATTGGGTTTGTGATATTATAGTTTGAAAACTTCTTGTGCTCTATGTGATTGTGGGAGTTCTTCTCTTTCTATATTATATCTTGAGTAAATAGCATGAGAAAGATGTTGGCATGATTGGCATGTTGTTACGGATATCTTTGACCTGAAAACAGAAAAAACAATTGGGGGGGGACTCACTTGATGTCATTGTTGTCTAATGTGTCATACCTATAGGGAAGTTAATTACACAATGGATTGGATACCGTTAACTTTGGTTGCTTTGTTCTTTTTCCCTTTCTTGCTCTTATTATTATTCTTAAGTGGCCGTTATAGATTATGAGGTGGTGTCTTGAAAGTTATTTTATTTGATGTCTATTGACATGCGGGTTTTCTTTCAATCATCATATCCAGGGAGTAGAGTGGGCAACTCCTTCTTTTCATTATTGAATCAGCCTGTGCTGGTCACATGGCGGAAGATGTGTTTTATGGATGCGTTGCCAACTGTGCAAAAGAAAAGAATGTTCTTGAACTAGTGAAATATTTAATGGAGACTTGTCATTGTGCATGTAACAACTGACTGTCTGTGTGTAATCGTAGACTTCTTGTATTAGGTACATATGTAATGCCCTCTTTTTTATGTTTCTATGACTGTATTAGGATTTTAGGCTTTGCATTGAGCTTGTAAAAGTCTTGTACAATGTGCTTAGTTGTACATATTCATTGTGTTGTAACTGTCGTTGCTTGCTCTATGCACTATAGGGAGTTAGGATTGAGCCATTGATACGTTGTAACAAGAAGCCACTGTGCTAAATTGTAATTAGTCAGTGAGATTTGTACAAGCCAGTTTCTGCTGATGCCACTTCCTGTAAATAATCTTAGTTTTTCTGTATTATATGTAACTGTGAGTAGTTTGGGGTTAGGGGTTGTGAGTTGCAAGTCAGTACTGCATTGTAAATGAGTTGGAACGGAAACAGTTGTTTAGACTAGGGTTTGTTTTTCTCTCCAGGGAGACATATTCTGTGCTCACTATTGTACATTTTTTGGACGTAGTTTTGTAACTCTCAACATAGATTTCATGTCATCTATTTCTCATCAATGTATCGCTTAGTGAGGTTGTCTGAAATGGTTGTTTAGACAAGTTGTTTGGTTTCTCAACTATGTATTTTAGAAATTTGGTGTATTTTCATGTTTAGTGCATGAGAGGCTGCATCGTTCTTGAGGGAGGCGTTCACTGGAAATGCTTTGCTTTACATGTCTTCCTGCTGGCAGTATTGAAGGATTGTGCTTTGTTTGAATTACCATCATATAATCTTTTGTTGTATCTTCATTTTTCTCTCCTTTCTGTTTTTTCGTATTCAGTTTCTGTATTAGTATATAAAGTAACTGTGCATGTACTGTCCTGCTGTTGTTTGAGTTCTGCCCTTGTAGTTTTTGTGTTAAGCTTCGTAGTTGCCGATTCTGTATGAAGTAACTGAAACTCTAGGCAAATTCACAGTTGATGGAATAATTTTCAGGAGGCAAGCGGAAAGGCGCTTTTGTTTTCAGTCTTTTGAGCTCTATGGTTTTTATCTTGAAGCTCTGTTTGTCAGTAATCAATAGTTGAGGGCATTCGTGTCTGGTTTTTCTGTTGCATCATAGTTCTTAGCTGCAACTGTTAACTCACAGATGGTCTTTCATTTCTCTGGAATCTCTGCCGTTTTAAAACTGCTTGGTTATGTTTATTTGAATCTGCGAATGGTTTTTGCTTATATTTGATCGCAGTACATACGGGCGTGCGCGTGACAGCGGTAGGCAGGGAGTTTTGGTGTGCATGTTTTGTTAGTTTGTTTCTCTCCAGTGCCTCGATGGCTATCGTTGTTCTGTTATTTCTGGGATTTCTATTACGAATCTTGTGGATTTTTTCGCAGCTGGTTAGATTATTACCTAGGCAGTGCAATTTAAAACCAGATCTTGGCAGTGCCTTCATTCTGCATCAAGGCACCTTATCTCCTAGTTGAATTGCTGTAACGAATTATACACCCCCGGGTCCCAATAGATCGTATTCGATGGAGAAGAACTTTCATGCAACCGTAATATATATCTTCTTGCAGTTAAGATGGATTAGTCGGGTATATATCGAGGTTTAGTTCTTCGCAGTCATTTTGTTCAAAAATTTCAGACTTAAATACGAGGGTTTAAAACTACAATCTAGTGGTAACAAGTAGAATTACAACACAAAAGAATGACGTTTTAATTTGTAACGACGAAAATATTTTGCTCGATTACGTATGTACGAGCATCCGCTACAATCACTAAATATACGGCCAACGAATGTAGCGATGGTTCTCGTTTATTTCCATTGTTCATAATAATATCGAGCACAAACGTTTGCATGGGAACTATATACTATGCATGCAAGCACGGAGCTTAGAACAAGAAGGAGGCGGCGACGCCTGTGGCAACAACTACTCGCGCTGAGAGGTGTCCAACGGTGGCAGCGCTAGCATTAGGACCCTCGGCATTACCACTGGCAATGGAGCCGAAAGTCGAATCAGAGACAGGTCCACCAACAGAGCCGGCGGTAACGCTGTCGGCACCACCAGGAGAAGGAGCATCGGAAGCACCAGCACCGGAGCCACCAATGGCACCGCCAGGAGAAGGAGCCTCGGAAGCACCATTACCGGAGCCACCAACGGCAATGGTTCCCACATCGTTATTGTCAGGGACTGGTCCGGCCGAGGGCACACCAGCGAAGGTTAGGAGGTCGGGTTTGGTAGCGGTGGCGGGGCTGGCGGCGTCGGCAGCGAAAACCAAACCCACGGTGGCCAACAGAAGAAGAGCAACAACAACTTGTTGGCGTGCCATTTTTGTATGATTAGAAGGGTAAAGGGTTAATTATGCGCGCAGTTGGTTCTCGTTGGTGGGTTTGAGAACACTGCAGGCTAATGGAAAGTGGCGGTGGGTGGTGGTGGGGTTGGGGGAGAAGTGGGTATATATAAGAATTTTTGGGAGGAGGAGATTGGCGGGCTTGGAGGGCGTTGCGGAGTAGAGCTAGGAAAGCCGTCGGTGGCACCGTGGCGCGCAGTTTGTTAGTTGCTGCCGTTATTTTTGGTTGGAAATATCTTTTGTGAATTGAGGTATTTGTCGGTTTGTTCCTGAACTTGTATAGAGCTGTCAATATTTTTCATAAATTTTAATTTTAGTTAATCACCTCCATAAGTTTTTATAAGTCAATTTTCTACCTCTCTGGAATTTTAACTTTAGCCGATTATCTCCTAAACTTTTATAAATAGCCAACTTACGTTTATCGTTATATTTTAAAATTTCTCATTCTTTTTGCCCCATACAATTGTTATGTGTCAAAATGGATGAAAATTTTTAAAATCTAGGTCGGGGGAAAATTAGCTAATTATAAAAAGTTTAGGATGGTAATCTGCTAAAATTAAAGTTTAAGTGAAATTAACAGCTCTATACAAATTCAGAAGACAAATTGATAAATATGCCCTTGTGAATTCGCTCAAATATAACAAAAAGAAAAAAGAGTGGGCCAAAAAAACCAATCTGGGCCGAAGCCCAATAGTGTTTTGTAAAGCCCATAAGTAACACGACATCCAGAGGGCTTCCCACTTCAAGCAGTCAAAATCTCAAACCCCAAACCCTAGAAGCAGATGCTTAAACAGAGACGAAGATCCTCGACCTAAACGGAAGTGGGAAAAGCAGTGAGGGTTTGAGGAACAAGTGAATCGGATTTGGTAACAGAGTGGTGGTGCAGCAATGGCGTTGGCGTTCGATGAGTACGGGCGCCCGTTCATAATACTGAGGGAGCAGGAGCAGAAGTCTCGATTGCGCGGCCTCGATGCTCAGAAGGCCAACATTTCTGCCGGCAAGGCCGTCGCTCGCATCCTCCGGACCTCCCTCGGACCCAAGGGCATGGACAAGATGCTCCAGAGCCCCGATGGCGAAATCACTGTTAGTAAGTATCTCTCCTCTCTCTCTTACTCGCACAGAATATGAAGCTTTTGTTTCTGCTTGATTCGCATTTTTGGTTTTTTGGTTTTTTTGTTTTTTATTTGGGTGTGGATCTATGTGCTTCTGTTTGTCTGTTCATTGTGATTTGGGTTCATTCCCTTTCATTTTCGGCGTCTGGCATGATCTTTTTCAGTTTGAAAATGCTAATCTTGAAGTTTGTATGCTTTTCTGAGTAATGGGTTAGTGTGTGTTTTACCTCTGATCGGCGCTTGTCATTTTTCCCATCTTCGTGCCCGTGTGGTTATAATTATACCTGCCCTGTAGTGTGAACATGGCTATTTGGGGTGGGAGCACCCACTTATCTGGAGTATAAGCTTTGGAATCTTGGCTTTGAGATAACCTTTGTGTTACCTTACCTTTCTTTTGGATATATCAGCAAATGATGGTGCCACGATTCTGGAGCAGATGGATGTCGACAATCAGATTGCGAAGCTGATGGTTGAACTATCCCAGAGCCAGGACTATGAAATTGGTGATGGGACAACTGGAGTTGTTGTGTTGGCTGGTGCACTTCTAGAGCATGCTGAGCGGCTGTTGGAGCGAGGTATTCACCCCATACGCGTTGCAGAGGGATACGAATTGGCATCTAGAATAGCTTTCGACCATTTGCAGCATATATCACACAAATTTGAATTTGATCTGGATAATATAGAGCCTCTGGTTGGAACTTGCATGACCACGTTATCGTCCAAGATGTAAGTGGAACTTTTAGATTTACTTTTCACCTATGTGCGTTGCTGCTGTCTAGTCAGAATTATGATAGTAAGTTTACTTCACCACTTTGTTATACGATGGTTTTTGTCATCATAATATAATGGATAATTGTATAATCTGGTAAAAGCTCACACTTTCTTTTTGACGAGTTGGATAATTTTTGTGATTTATTGTAAAAGTATAATGTTATTCTTCCGCTCTCCGTCTGCGTTTGCAAATTTTTAATAGATTGTTGCGTTAAAGTGTCTTCTATTGTCATTCCATTATTGGCTTGAATTTAAAATTTTCTTGTTCATTTTGTAGTGTGAACCGGTGCAAGCGTGACCTTGCTGAGATTGCTGTGAAAGCAGTTATGGCTGTTGCAGATTTAGAGAGGAAGGATGTGAACCTAGATTTGATAAAAGTAGAGGGGAAAGTTGGGGGTAAGTTGGAAGATACTGAGCTGGTATATGGTATTCTTATTGACAAGGATATGAGCCATCCACAAATGCCAAAGCATATTGAAGATGCAAAAATTGCTATCTTGACGTGTCCCTTTGAGCCACCTAAGCCAAAGACAAAACATAAGGTTGATATTGATACAGTGGAGAAGTTTCAGACTCTACGTTTGCAAGAACAGAAGTACTTTGACGACATGGTCCAAAAATGCAAGGTCAGATTGCATCCCCTACTTGCATAATGTTATCGCTATTAAAGAAATTCTGAAATTCATGGCTACAATTTGGTTATCTTGGTATTAAGGATGCTTTTCTGTTACTATGTCATCTGGGTACTTATGGATAATCATTGGTTGCAGGATGTCGGTGCTACCTTGGTCATCTGTCAATGGGGGTTTGATGATGAAGCAAATCACCTGTTGATGCACAGGAACTTGCCTGCTGTCAGATGGGTTGGTGGTGTGGAGTTGGAACTAATTGCAATAGCTACAGGTATGCCTTATTTTGAAGACTTTATAGAACCTGAGATTTGGTATATAATTTTTAGCAGTCTATGGTTTTTATACTATTTTGTCATCATTCTCCACCAAAAAAATGATGTCTTTATTTATTTGTAGGAGGAAGAATTGTGCCCAGGTTCCAAGAATTGACACCCGAGAAGTTAGGAAAGGTATAGCTCTTTAAGTATATTGTTTGCTATTTAATTATAATTAGCAAGCAATGTTTCATAACAAGTAGTGATTTTTCCAACATTTTTTTTTTAATTTTTCTTGATTGATATCCGTTTGTCCATATACATTCCATTCTTGTAAACATAAGAACCCTAACTTGTGGTTTTTTTTTCTTTCACTAGGCCGGTATAGTTCGCGAAAAATCATTTGGCACAACTAAAGATCGCATGCTGTACATAGAACACTGTGCAAATTCAAAGGCGGTGACCATATTTATCCGTGGTGGTAGGTTTCTTTACTTGTATCTTTCCTGGTACTTCCAAAGTGATTCAGCATTTCGCTTAAGTGAAAATGATGTCAATAAGATTAGGTAGCGTCAACTGATGAAATGAATATTATGTATGGCTAGCAGATTTTGCAACCTTTCGACTAGCCTGCCTTTTTGTTATCCTTTTCTGTGATTATGTTTATTCTTCAAGCCTAATTTAGAGTTTTTATAAGAGGTTTTGGTATTTCTTTGGACTCATTAGGTAACAAAATGATGATAGAGGAGACTAAGCGCAGCATCCACGATGCCCTCTGTGTTGCTAGGAATCTCATCCGCAACAATTCTATTGTCTATGGTGGTGGATCAGCAGAGATATCTTGCTCCGTTGCTGTAGAGGCAGCAGCAGACCGATACCCAGGAGTTGAGCAAGTATGAAGATAGTCTCCTCCCTCTTTTCTTTGCACTTTTATAAAAGTATTAAGTAAAATGTTATAATCAAATCTTCCTTTTCTCCACAGTATGCCATTAGAGCATTTGCAGATGCTTTGGATGCTGTCCCTATGGCGCTTGCAGAGAATAGTGGCCTTCAACCCATCGAAACGCTATCTGCAGTGAAGGCCGAGCAGATTAAGGTAAATGAAGCATGATAGCCAATCTATTCTCGACTCTCTCTCTCTCTCTCTTTGTATGGCTGCGATTCTGAATTTTGATCATCAATTTGAACTGTTAATGCAGGAGAACATTCCCTACTACGGAATAGACTGCAACGATGTTGGCACAAATGATATGCGCAAACAGAATGTCTTCGAGACTTTGATCGGGAAGCAGCAGCAAATCTTATTGGCAACACAGGTGGTGAAGATGATACTAAAAATCGATGATGTTATTTCCCCCTCTGATTACTAGTTTGTTTTACCTGGGGATGAATTTCTGTAATTTTTTTAGCTTGATTCAGAATTTTGAATGACTCTTAAGGACATACTGTTCGCTTGTGGAAACTTGTTTGTAGAATTTGGAGTGGTTTGTAGCATGATCGCTCTTCTTTCCCTTTGTTTAATTGGTGTGAGGTAGGCCAAGTGATTGGTGAAGAATTGGGAGAAATTGGCATCAACTTGTATCGCTTCATCTATTTGTGCGAATCATAACGAATAAGTTTCCTGCACGATCAATCCATTTATTTCCTTCCGCTTGGAAGAATTTTGGATCTTGACCCTCGTTTTTCACTTGCATTCTATCCAATTCTAGCCACCACATCGACTAGCGAGCCTGAGCTTGGCCTTAGATAATCAAGTAACTTGGTTTGAGGAAACTCTCGACGTAATTTTTATGTATTTTTTTAGGAGTGTTTGGGATGGGACATTTTTTTTTTCCCTAAGTTCAGGTTGAAATCTCCGACAAAGTTTTAATCGAGGGTCATTGTTAGTTATACGTATTCCTTCTTCATAAATCAATATCGTACTTGAACACACAAGAAAAATGAAAAAATGCTTTCTTATTTTCTAGCTCCTTGTCTATTTTGTAGATCCACCGCAATGCCAGTCGATAGAAAAGATGCCATCGTGCTCATGATTTGTCAGTCTTCCCAATGTGCATGTTGCTCTCAATGTCTGATGAATGTGAAAACTTGGGACTTGAGATTTTGTCTTCATAGCAAATTTTGTAACTCTTAGATAATAAAGATCCAATCTTTCCATGTGTGGCTTCTAAGATTTATATCTGCGTCCAACGTCATAATCAGCAAAGCTTATGAAATTTTTACTTAATTTAACTGCTGAATGTACGATTAAAATACAAAAGAACAGAATATACACGATACATTGCCGTATAGTAGGCCCCTAAAGTCAGAATTAAACTTCAGAAATAAAGTAGTGGGGAATGAAAAAGCTTTAATGCCCCATTTATTTATTTATTTTTGACTAAATAGCCAAAATGGTTATTGAGATTTGCATAACATATCACTTTGGTTCCTGAGATTGTCCACCATCCATCATTTTGGTCCTTCCGTTAAGTGTGTCGGAGCTTTGAAAATTGCCCAAACTTCTGGCTAAAAGCTCTGGAACACTCAACAGAGTTTTTAACGGAATGACCAAAATGATGGATGGTGGACAATCTCAGGAACCATTTCTATTGATTTGAAATCTCAGGGACCAAAATAATGTGTTATGCAAATCTCAAGGATCATTTTCACTATTTAACCTTTATTTTTCATTTCTAAATGAAACTCTGCCGACCATATAGTTTGCAATTGTGGAGGGCACAGTGATAACATGGGTCGATTAGGAGTTGTGGTGGCCACATTTATGGCAAACTGGGGGCAAAAAATTTAATGGTAAGCACTTGGGTTGTTTGTGGCTGTTGGATTGGATGGAGGCAACGTGATCTGATCAAACGCTTGGATGTTCTGCAAATTTGTCAAAACACGTACATATCCTGTTGAAAATCATCCACTTTTGGTCTGCAGAAGAAGAAGATGATGATGGCCCCATAAATTCAGTCCAGTGAGAGCATTTATTTGCTCACAACTTTAGCTCAACTCATCCGTAACCACTTCACCGACCCCATGTGAGTGACACTCTAGCATTATAGCGTCACAACGATGTCTCGTGCTAATAAAACAAACGTGGGATATTTATGCCATGCAAATTCTTCTTCAAATTAGAACCTCAACGCATATCCCCCGAGTTTCAACGACTAGTTGTATGTCTCTCTCATTATGTAAATAAAATATGGTCGTACACAGTCGGTAACACTCAAAAACTCAAGAGAAAAGTACGAAATTTTGCTTTCATTTCATATTCAATTATATCAACACTTTGGCCTTGTTTCTTTCACGATCAAGACATCTGGGAAAAAGTTACACATAATTCTCAAAGGTGAAAAGCCAAGGTTGAAAATTACCAAAAGATTAAAAGCGAAACACCGATATTGATATACAAGAAAAATCAAAACACTAGCTGCTGTAATTACAGTGGGTCTTATTTTTCCCATTTTATCCTTCCCTGTGATGGTCAGCAACGGGAGCCCTTCTTGCACCTGAGCGAACCAGCTCCGGCAGTGAGTGAACTCACGAGCGACGAAGGTCTTGCACCCAAGCTCGATGCCTTGGCGTAACTAGAAGATGCTCCGGCACCGGATGCTGTGAAGAACGCACCGTTTAGCAGCAAATCTCCCGAGGACCTCCAGTTCCATTTGCTCCACTCCTTCTGTGGCGCATCCTCATGCTTGGTGACCTGAAAAAAGTAATTCAAATTTTCACCTTAGAAAATCTTGATTTCGAGAAGAATTATACTGAACAAAATTTAATGTGTTGCAGTAATTAATTGAAATTATTCTTTGCCTTACTGGAATTAATGCTCACTGCTCACCTCTTTGTTGAATCTATCATTTGGTGCTAGAAATCTGTTGCCTTGGCTGTTGATGGTTGGAGAAGCACTCCCGCCAATAGCATACATTTCCCAATGGGTGTAGTCATTGTTCACCACATGAAAGTTCCCATGTCTACATCTGCATAATTCATAAAAAAAATAAAAAAGGGAACTTTAACGAAAAGCTCCGGATATTGTTCATTTTAACGAAAAACCATATTTTTATATTAAAAAGTCAATTCTGGTACTATTCACTTCACCCTTTATTTTATTAAAACTCAAAGTTTTCAAATCTTTTCCAGTAGTTTCCTTAAAAAAAAAAAAAAACTTGTTGATTCACCTTTCCACTGACCCGTAATTATATATTGATTAGTTACCTTGGCATCCTCTGAACAAGGCCTTCTCCAAAGTGGTTGAATGCAATGGTGACCTGCATATTCTTGTCCTGAGTGTAGGAATCACTGTGCCCCAAGAGCATGACCTTGTCATGATGCGTCATGTAGTTGTTAGAAATGGTGATGGAAGTGGAACCATGGATGGCATCGATGAGCCCGTCACGGCAGTTCGAAAGAGAGTTATGATCCACCCAAACATGACTACCACCAAAAATGGAAACCCCGTCTCCGTCGGAAAGCGTCCGCCACCCAAAATGCTCCGGCGAGTCCCTCACGTAGGCGTTCCCTCCTTGCTTGCAGTCGTGAATGTTTAATCCGTGGATGATAATGTTGGTCACGTACTGTATGGTAATGCAGGGCCCACCGGCAATGTGGACGCTGGCTCCTCTGCCGTCGATGGTCTTGAAGGAGTTCATCATCAGTTCTTCTTTCAGCTTGATCGTCATGTCACGCTGGAATACGATCCAGAGCGGTTCGTTTTGGATCACGCCGTATCGGAGGGTTCCGGGTTTAGGGTTCACCGGATGGTCGCCTGAGTCCGTGACCACGTAGATTTTACCGTCCCTGCCGCCAATGGCCTGCTTTCCGAACCCGATTGCGCAGTCGGCTAGCCGCTGGCGGTTCTTCTCCCAGTTGGGGTCACACCTCCAGCAGTCGTCAATGGGGTTTCCGGTGCCACAGGAAAGATAACCCAAATTTCTCCTTGAGGCATTGATGCTCCTGTAAAAAGAGACAATACCCAAAATTAAGTACACGTTGTTCGCAATTACCTACTTTTACTCGAGTAAATAACCAGAAACTCTCTGTGCATGATGACGTTGATAATGTGTCGATATTTTCGAAAATGTAACAAATGCATGTCCATACGTTTTATTAGTGACGATGATATTAACACACTATCAATAGTCTGTTAGCAAGACTAAGTAAATAACTATGAGAAAAATGATGTTTGCACCCTTTTTTCTCTCATGCACTGCACCTCTCTTTTACTCAAACTGTTGGGTTGAGTAAATCAAAAGAGAATTGAAGACAAAGCAAAAGTGCATAATGATAAAACAAGAGTGCGAAAATTATTTCCCAATCTTTAACTTTGCAAGTGTTGGAATATCGATCATACTCTTGTACTTGTTGCATCACCAGTTCAGGATCTTTGACTGGGGAGGAGGAAATGGTTGTTGGGATTAGGAGGAGAGAGAGGATCAGCAAGAGGGAGAGTGGCATTGCCATAATTTCTTTCTACTTCTCTGCTTGAAACAAAAGCAGGGAGAGAACAGAGTAGGCAGAGAATACTTGTGAGGAAGTTGAGGGAAGGTGAGATTATATATAGGGGACGAAAGGGTTTAAGAACCTCAATATTATACGATGTGATGGTATGTGGGGCCATCCATCCATCATTTCTGATTCAAAGGATCCCATTACACTAGTTTGGCCGTTAAGTAATGAGTGACGTTAGAGAGATTGTCTTTTTAGACCATACTTTATCAACTATAATGTGACGTTTGATAGTTGAATTTATTCTTTAATTCACTAAAAAGGGAAATCAATCATCAATCACTCTACAAAATATGGTCGAAAAAATGGTTTTCCTAGCATTTTCCTCAAGTAATCTATCTTAAAAGAATTTTTGCAATCCAATTTGCTGATTTGCATACTAATCCATAATGCTTTTGTTTTTGGGTGACGATTCTACAATTTTGTGTGAGTCGAACTTGATGCCTACTGACTTTATAAGTGTATCCAAAACCAATAAGTTACAAAGAACCAAACCTAAATTAAAATGTTTAATCAAAGAGCTTATGACCAACCTTTGAACCAAAAGAAACATGCAATTCTTGAAAAGAAGGGTGTAATATTAGCCAAAACCCTAGGGCGAGAGAAAACAAGAGATACATTATTTATCTACCGAACTGTACACCGACACTATTCTCGATGAAACTTGTGTCGGCATGGCATGAAGCGGTCAATTTTGTAGACAAACTTCCCTTCTTTCTCCATCTCATTTCACAAAAATAGCAAGCTTCTATAGTTCTATTGCATCTTATTATTGCCATTCCATCGATGACATATTAATAGTTTCTTATTTTAGTGCCTTGCAGCTAAGTTTTTGTCTCTAACTCTCTCTTAAATCACATCATGCATTACCATCGTCCCGCTGAAAATAACGTTTGAAGAATATAGATCGAACATAAAACTTCAGATACGAAGATACAAACTCGTAATGAAGTGTGAAATGGTAAAAAGTAACGTTGGTCCTCGGGTCCCTTTAGGCATCCAAACAATTTTGACATGTTATGTTTGGAGGGCAAAGGGTATGTACAATGGTGTGGTGAGCACATAAGAGAATCTAATGGTGTGTGGGTTGTGTAAAGTTTGAATCTAGCTCTTCTCTTTCTGATAGTGGGAAAAGTTAATTAGATAAAGGATCATGTATAAATACCCGATTGACTTTTGTGCCTTGTTCCATGTGGCAATTTGGCGACGATCTCACCCTTCTTTTTTTAATTTATTATTTTTTTGCTAAAAGTTTCCTCTCCCTAATTATAGCATGAGTTTAGGGTTGCATTAAAAAACATGTTTGTTTAGGGTTTGATAGAAATGGTAATAAGAGTGCTAATGAAGGTTGATTGAGTTGGTAATGCTCATTTTCTTCGTTAGCTCAAGGCTAAGATTTGAGTCTCATTATCGACAATCTCTCTTGGTGGTGCTCTGTAAAAACCAAAAAAAGGGGTCAGGACCCCCTTTGTAAGTCATCAAAAAAGCTTGTGGTATACTCTGGCACTAGGATAGGTAGCCTCCCCTCTCTCTAAACTTTATTCAACCCAAAAAAAAGATAGTAAGAGTTAGAAATTTGGATTAAATCACATTGAAATAACATATCACTTATAATTAGATTTCAAATTCTCTATTTATACAACTCCAATCGAAGATCTTTTACTTACAATCACTGAAAAACGAAAATAAATGATGGTCTTATTATTGTATGTTGAGTTTGTAAATAGATGATGTTATCCACACACTTTTTTTTACTTCTCACACATCTCGTATTAATTTTTATCTTTTAATCTTTTCTAATTTATCTAATTCAACCGTTGGAAATAGAAGTTTTGTGGAAGAAGATAACAAAGGGTGATGTGAATTCCTGTACACCAACTTTTCTCTTTGCACCCACTGAAATTAAGATAAGCCAAAAAACTCATGATGACAAAATCTGTTGACAATGGAGTGGGGCCTATTTAGCCTTCGAGACCACATGGGTGGTCCGTACTATCCTCCACGTGATGACGTGGCGTATTTCTGTAGGGTAGCCACGTTCTCCCATGTGAGCTTTGTTCCCTTAAACTTTCCGGAGGTGAGTCCCACGGTGTTTGGGATCAATATTCAATTCTCAGAATCTGGGGTCGTTAATGCTGGTAGTTGATCCGGTACCGAACTGCACCCGCCAATGTGGAGTTAGGGTTTTCTCTTTCCATTTTGATATTGGCCTGAAGTTGCATTGCATGGGTTGAAAACTTGAAACAAGCAACTACACTAATATGAAAATTCACGGCTAGCTGGCTACATATATACAACTAGAATTAAAACGATCAAATTTGAAAGTTAGAAGCGTTGAAGAATGCATCCCACATCAATAACTTGATAGAATGAATCAAAGTTTATATTGAATGATTCTATTCTTTATCGTACAAAGATTTTTTCTAATAAATTAAACTCAACATTTGTCGGGATGTTGGCAAGTGGCTTCAGGGAGACTTTGTAAATATGATTACAAATGATATGTTGGCTCAACTTTGAAATTTTGACACAAAGAACCAAGTTATATACCAAATTGTAATACCAACATTAATACGAAATGCGTTATTACTTTTCTACGCAAATGCTAGCTGGGGACTGAAACTAGTTTTTCTACTTCACCTTTGTCCATCTCATATAAGGCGGTAGGATCCATAGAAGTCGTATGATATTATTCTTTTTTTCCTTTCTTCAAAAGAGAGCACTATAATTACTCTAGATCTCATGAAACAGGAAAGAAAACAAATATGATTGATCCTCATGTGCGTCACTATTGGAGAATATTTTATCATTCGAAGTCATATACTCGCGAACGGTAAATATTGTTTCGATCAATCGTTTTCTGCACCTACTTCTTGAGATCCAAAATATTATAAATTTAGAGGACCCTCCTAAAAATGGCACTGATTAAGTTTTCTGTTGCCGTCCCACTGTCATATATGTTAAAGTTGAGAAAACAAATGAAGGTTCATGCTTGCAGGATGATGAGTTCTTACCATGCAACCAAGCACAATACTTGTTGGTCTTCGCGGTACGGACTGAAGATGGGGAAGAAGATGGAGTACTCATTGAAATAATGTAGGGTTTGGAGATCATTCTCCTCAACTAGATTCCCCCAGTGTTTGATCAAATCTGAACCCTACGCATAATTAGTTGCATTAATTGTTATTGTATGAGTTTATATTTTGGTCGAAGATGGACAATCGCTCATTCTTAAAACTAAAAATTTGTACAATAATCTATAGATAAATTAAACTACTGAAAATTAAAATGGTGATGATGCCCAATAATTTAGGTAATCAGCAAAAATCCACTCAAAACTTAAAAAGGGTGGTGACCAAATATAAAATGAACTCACAATAAAAGGCAAATCCCATTTTTTGCCATTTGCATGAGTCGATCTCCATCCAGAAATACTTATTGCTGTGGGCGGGTGAAGAGTGATGAGTGTGGTGACTACTGCTGTTAGGCCACATGCTCATCCACTCAACACGTGTCAGGGAGTTGATATTGCCATCTGGCAAATCACTACAAATGACATAATTAAGTATCTTGATTCTTGCTTACCAATCATTTTGACCTAGAAAACGAGAAATTTTTAGTTGTGACGGGAATACAAATGGTACACCACGGTGAGAAATTTTATTTTTTAAGTTATTAACTTTTTGGCACACATATCACACCATTTGTATAGTGACATGTGGTGTACCACCCCGTGTATTGGTCACACTGAAAAATTGCTTACCTAAATGTGCGAGTTAAATTTACAGCCATCTCAGAAAATATTTCACCCTTAACGGAAAACCCTAATTGGGGATTATAGCTTCGTAGGCTTATTTGATCAAGCAACTCTTAAATTTTTTGTGAGTACTTGGTTGCAATGTGTTCTAATCTTGATATGCCTCATATTTTTGAGATATTAACAAAAATCAAACATATTATAATTTGAATAAAATTATGACACCACGTAAGAATAGTCTGAAAAATTGCTTTATAGGGACCAAACTTATTTGGTGGGTTGATAGGGTTAACTCCCCTTGAAGTTCACAAACTGCAGCCCCTTTATTTATGTAGGGTTCCTCTTTGACAACAGTCTCTTTCAAAACTTTCTGATCTACTTATCTTATTGAGATTATGCTCCATCTTTCAGAACTTTTCACATCTGCAATACATTCACATAGGCCTCATCTTCTGTAGAACACACACACACACACACTCATACTAGGGCATTAACAAATTGTCACAATTTAATTTAGTACTCTTGTACCATATTTAATAAAACTGAGATCCATTTTCGTTACCGACACTCTAGCTAGCTAGAAAACAAGATCGATCCTCCTCCGTATGCACGTACGTTCGTATGTACGTGTCTCACAAGACTCACATTCCCATAAATAAATGCATGCAAAGTACCACAACCGGGTCTACGTATGAACAAGCATGTGAATTGCTCAAAGCTACAGGGAAATAACATATGTGGGGAAGGAAATTAAAGCTTTGCTTCTTTGTTTTCCAATATTTCAACCAAATAATTGAACAGCAGAGGAGGCACTCGATCGAAAATTATCTGTGTCCAATCAAGTCTCCACTGTACGTAAGAGATTCGATTAGCGATGTGTACGGTACTTCGGATTCTCATAAACAAATATTATTAGTTAATAAAAATGTGTATCCTCAACTTTCCAAGGTCGTCCAATTACGGATTATATTATATAATTATTAATAATTAATCACTCTCGTATTTTTGTATGTTTTGCAGGGTTGTCCAGTAGCTAGCATTTGTATCTTCTGGAGTCTGAATTTTATTTCACTGTTAAAAGTTAAAACGAACGCCGCCCGTGAATCCTGACCCATGCACGGCCTGGCCATGGCTACGTAACTGGTGGGGTTTGAAACTCCATACGACTGATATTTGTATAATTCAACATATAACTACATAATATGTGCAACTTAATACTACGGGTAAGTGAGAGAGATCTTATATTTGATTTTTTAGTGTAGATGTAATGACCTGCCCTGGATTTTCATGAAACAGAAGGGTAATTTGGTAATTTCACTTTGGTTGGGAGATATGTTGTCATGGTTGCTTTTTGGTCTTATTTGGTGTGCCAAAGGGGCCCACCCTTTTGATTTTGTCTCCCGACCCACTTCCTTTCCCTGTGTCCTTCCCCCAAAAACCTCATAGCTTTCTCTCTCTCTCTCTCAAACTCTCCCAGTTCACTCTCATTTCTCTCCCTTCTTCCTCGGCAAGTATCGAGATGGTGCAATGGCATGCCCCACTTGAAACCACCACATCCATGACAAGACACCCAACTTACCACCGCATGTTGACTCTATCTCGTCCCTCTCAACCTTGCAACATCACCACCACGGTAGAGCCTCCATCTTCGGCGAGTTCCTTGACTTCTTGACACGAGGGTAAGGTTTTATACCCTTTGAACCGTCTTCCCCCCGTCCCTTGTTGAATACTAACTCCTTTGTGCGTGTTTTGGACATCAAAACAATGGAAAACCAGCTAGGGGATACTTCCCCAGATTCCAGCGAGAACCCGAGACTTGCAGGTCATTTTTCGGCCAACTCTTAACATGACTGGCCACATGAGAGGTATAATATTCTTCCTTGTTCCTTAGGCTTCAATTTGGTATATGTATGACTAGTTTTAATTGAGATTTGGGGTTGAATGGAGCTTGGAAAGTTATGGCTTTCTTTTTCGTGGAAACCGGCCAACCCAGCTTGAAATTGGGTTGACTCGACCCGCTACCCAGTAATCGGATCCAAACCCAACCTTGCTACTCATCCCAAACCTCTGGACCATACTACCCAACCCAACCCAGAACTTTGGCCCACTAAACCAAGCCCAGAAACCGGCCTAACCCAGATCCAACCCCACCCGACCGGTTCCCAGGTCAATGCAATGAGCACATGCGCCTTTGTGCGGAGGTACTGTGCTCCGCCATCGTGGACGGCGGCGCCGGCAACTTTTCAGCAACCCAACTCGACACGTGATGGCTTGTGGCCTTCCAGGCCGCCGCCCCGTGGCAGCGTGTGGGGGTACCCGAGGTCCCCCCTTATCTTTTTTGACGTCCTGAATCCGTTTATGACATTCGTTTTTCCAAATTCAATCATTTTGGTAGAATTTTATTAATTGGTCCCTTTATGTGCTTAGGTGCGTTGTTAGTGGCGTTTCCGTCTTCTCTAGCTGCACGGCTCTTCGATGACAAAGTATATGTGAGTGGACCCCTTCCAAAATGCATGATTTTATTTCGAGAAATGCATACATGAAAAGCATGATTTCATGACTACGTTTTATGAAACGTTTATGAGTAAATTGGATTTTCACTTTATGAAATATCATGCTTTAGCGAATTTATGTTAGTCAGATATTTATGAATATGATAATTGAGCTATTGAGCTCCGATGAGATATATTTTGGAAAGATTATGTTCATGATTTTTTGTGCCTTCGAGTGGATATTCATACATATGTGCCTTCGAGTGGGCGATGTAGTGTCTTCGAGCGAATGATATATGTGCCTTCAGGTGGGCGATGTAGTGCCTTCAGGCGAATGACATATGTGGTTCGGGCGGGCAATGTAGTGCATTCGGGCAGAAGATTTATATGTGCCTTTGGACAGAAGGTTTATATATGCCTTGGGGCTGGCGATGTAGTGCCTACTGGCAGAAGATATTTATATATGGTTGCGACCGGGCGATGTAGTGCCTTTAGGTGGAAGATATTTATATATGGCTTTAGTCGAGCGATTGTGATACCACTCTTAAGCACACTTTATATGATATATATTTTAAGAAGGTTTTATGGCATGTTAGGGTTTTTGGAACACCTATTATTTATTATGCTATATGAGTTTTCTAAAACTGGGGGTTAGTACATTGAATAATAACTGTCTTAGTATTACTTATATATAAACTTGGTCCATTCATGCTTTGTTTTGAGCCCTCTCAGGACTTAAATCAAGGCGTAAAATCCCGGAGTCAAGGCATTCCCACATCAGTATCTTCAAGTCCTCTCGGCGTAGGACCCATTCCTTTATTTGCATAGTCTTATAATATTCCTTTTACAATGTTCTGAATTAATTGTAATCTCTGAACATATTCCACAATTGCATATTCATTATAGTTAAATTTACGAGTTTCATTTGTGTTCGTTCTTTCTTCATAGTTCTCATACATGTTAGTATAGCTTCGTCACCTTCAGGTGTCGGCCAGCATGTGCCTACCTTGGTGTTTGGAGGATATTGGGGGTTAGGCATGTCAGTAGATATTATCGTTTGTTCAAAAAAAAAAAAAACTACATAATACGTAGTATTGTTTTGTTGATTTATCTTTACTTATAAATGAGAGATTTTATGTGACAATATATTTGGTGAATGATGATTTTGATACTAATTTATTTTAACACCCGCTCTGTACATATATCTTTGTATAATATAAAAAGATAGGGAAATTTGGAAAACTAACCAAATTTTGGACCCTAAATAGAATTCTAGCCACCTTTTTAAATTTATGATAATTATAACCAAAAGTTGATATGAAAGTACTAATAGACCTTCAATAAATTTTTCTCAAAAAAACCAAAAGAAAAAAAATGTCATCCATGGAAAGTAAATAAAGCAAGATTCAATTAAGATAAGGAGATTCGAAGTAGAATTGAATAAGTTCAAAGCCACCCGTGCTCATTGAAGTTCCTTAAACAACCCAAAATCCCAATTCAATCATGGAAGAAAACAAAATCCAAAGTTCAACCTTTGGAGAAAATGAGAGAAAGAGAGATAGGGACCATCGCATTTTGGGCTTTTCACCAACGATTTGGTTCTGGAGCTAATCTTAGAAGTGGAGGTCCCAATTGAGGAGCTGAGATGTTGAGGAAGGGCAGCGGACACTGAAGTGAGTGAAGGTCTCGTTGTAAGCTTGGTGGTGCAAGTGCTCGAACTCAAGGATCACATCGTCGTGGTTGAAAATCAGAAATTGAAGAGTAAAGGAGGAAGCTGACCGAGACTGAGAGTGGGAGGCGTCTTCATGTGGAGGAGGTCGAAAATTTTTTGGGGGTTTGGAACTAAACGAAGGTTATGTGTGATAGTATAAAAGAGGAAGAGGAGGAAGAGAGAGGGATCGTGTTGCATGCCGTGGCTAGCTGTGCTTGGGGGATGTGATGGGTTGGGTTTTTGAGATTTTGGATTATTGTCTATACTGTAGAAAGGACAGAGATGGCGGTAAAAGACAGCCTAGCCTTTTGTTTTTTTGTTTTTTTTAAGAAACCCTTATTTTAAGGGTGTATTAGTATTTTCATAGCAACTTTTGGTTAATTATTCAAAATTTAAAATGGTGGTTAGAATTCTATTTAGGGAAATTTGGTTATTTTTCCAAATTTCCCCAAAAAAAATGGATTAATATGAATATGATATAATATTGGGTCTTCGTTTAGGTGCTTAAGGTGCATGATTTATTAGTAGCTGTAGGCAAACACCCTTAAGACCAGGGCTTCTCTGAGTCCGAGGGTCCAAAAACTCCATGATTAGTGTTGTTTCATTCTGCAAATAACACAACCAAGTCTCCTGCACATCACATGCCAACATATTCTTTCACACACGCCATGGACAGAATGAATAAGGGATTCGCGAACTTGGTGCGAATTTCATCATGGCAACAAATAAATAAAAAGAACAGCTTGGTACAACAAATTAAACAAAAGACAGGGTGCTTGAAGGCAGTGGTAGATCCAGAGTTTGAACATTAGGGGTTCCAATGGTAAATACAAGTAGAAATAGAGTGCGAAATGTAAAAAAAAAAAAATTCAACTTATTCTTTGAGACATTTCTTTGAACGTTTGTTGGGCTTGTTGTCATCAGCCAAACCATGTTGCACACGTGTCAAAGATAGCGGCATATGCTGAAAGGATCTAATGAGTGATATAGAGAGATTTTGCCGAGTGTTGTCGACATAACTTGTTGAGATATGCCTAGTATGCATTACATTAAACATTTAGTAGGTACAAAAGGGACTTGTACCAAACATTGGAAGGATCCTGAAAAGACCTTTGTATGTATAACTTTCGGACTTTGGGTTCAGGTTGTCCTAGGACCACCTTGGTCCTTACTTCCATCCACCCTTGCTTGAAGAAGTTGCTTGCTTATTATTCGGTGTATTTTTTTTTTCTCACCAATCACTGCTCTAAATTAACGGTGAGTATCATCACAACATTGATTGTCGCTAAATAAGTATGATTAATTTATTTTAAATGACAAATTTTCTAATTTAAACTCATTTCGTCACTACTTAAAGTGATTAGTAAAACTATTTCCCTTACCATTTGGAAATTTCAATAGATAATGAAATGATATCTTATTGAAGCATATGCCCTTTCTTTGAAGCTCAAATGATATCTTATTGAAGCATATGCCTTTCTTTGGGTCCTAGCAAACCTTAAACAAATAGTATATTTTTGAAGCATTCATTTCTTGTGGTACAAGGAGACCTTGTCGTGCATAGAGTCGTATACGATTGGTGCGGCCAGCTACATGACATATACAATTCGTGATCTATACCGCATACGCTTAAGAGAATTGTAATTCATCCTATTACAATAATACATAATGTTTATATAAGTCATGATTTCCAGTTGAGAACTCTTAAGGGGACTCTCTCATTCGTCTCATGTTTTTTGCACAATATTTTATAACATTAAAACGTGAATTAACGTTAAACTGAAGAAAGTGCCCCCTTTTAAGAAAGTCTCCTTAATATATGTTAATAGAATTTAGTAATCAAATAATGATTGGATCATGTGAACATCTTCCCCTTGATATTTGTTTTATTGTATATTTTTTTCCCACCCAACTAGAAGTCATAGTTGCATTATTGTTACCATAACCATTCCATCCTTTTTGTGCATCCCTTAACTAAAATGATAATGTATCATCCTATTAAAAAATGATAATGTATCATCTCTTCCATTCTAATTTTTAGATATGGATAAATAATAGGGTCATCATTTGATTTCTCGATTAGATCAATGTGATTTAAGTCATATTTATAAGGAAAGGAATATGGTGGTTGAAGGTTTAACAAAATTAAAAATTTTGAGGAATCTAGGTTGTATTGTGTTGGACGTCCCTCCTCCTTCAATCGTTGGTTTGCCACTACATGTTATTTCTGAAGGTGGTAGGACTGAGATGTTTGTGTAAGCCCCTTAAACTGATGCCATGTCATTCTTTGTTTGATGGTCCCACTTGGGCTTTAGGCCCCCTGTAACCAAAAATAAATAAATAAATAAATTCTTAGAGGACTACTTCATTATTCATATTGTGAAATTATGATCATTTGGTGTTGTTCAGCTGAATTTAGATAAATTTCAGTCCGATCCAACATTGGATTAGAAGATAATCCAATTTCAATTGGTTCAAATGATTGAGTTTACAAAGAAAAAATGGAAAATGACAATTTTATAAAAATGGATAACTATATAAGAAAATAGAATTTTCATAGAAAAAGCTTAATTAAGTGTTGGAAGTGGGTGCAACTCAATTCAGAATTTAACAATAAAATTCTTGATTGGAGTTTCAAATGTGCCTTAAAACGAAAATCCCACTCAAATATGAGCCATATTCAAATACTCGATTTGCCATATTCTTTTTTGTTTCAGCCTTTGAATGGTAAAATATATATAAGAGTTAAAGGATCTTTATTAAATGGGGTGTAGAAGATGAAAAAAGATGCGCATAAATCATTTTTCAAACAAAGAGAAATTTTCTAATTTATCGAAAATACGGTTCGATACACTAAAACATCTGACCAAACAAAAATAGTTTTTTTATTTTTTATTTTTTAGTACAATGATATATTTAACACTAAGGGAAGGGGAAGTAAGCTAAGCCGTACAATGAACCTAATTTGGTATCGAATTCGTGATCCGTGAGATTCGAACCTAACATCTCTCACTCACAAGTAAAAAGGAATACCATCATACCGTAATATTGAGTGGCAACCAAACAAAAATAGTTGAGGTCGCCGCCCATAGCTCAAATGCATATGGCTATTCACCTATGTACATCAATGTCTTTAAGTGTTTAAACCAATGTCGAACCTTGTTGCATAAATCTGGAACTAAGTATAATATTAAAGTGATTAGTTATAAAAATGTGATTAATTATTGGAAGTAAAGCCAGACCATTTTTTCTTTTTTCTTTTTTTTTTTCTTTTGAAAAGAAAAAGAAAAAAAAGATACTATCTACATTAAAAGGGAAGGGGTGGGCTTCCTCACAATGAACTAGTAATAATGTGGTTCAAATTCACCTTTGGCGAGAATCGAACCTAAAACATCTCACTTACAAGTGAAGAAGAAAATTACTTAATTGTAGTACTAAGTAATAAAACCAGACCTTAATTCTTAGAAGGGCATCCACCCTCTAGGTTGGGCCCCCAATTTTTAGCACTTTGCTTTGCTTTGCGGGTTTGTTAGCTATGATCATGTACAAGAAATCACAAACCAACCTCCCATCCCAAATTCATGGCCATCCAAATCCAGCAACTAGTAATGCCAAATTAATGGAGTCAAGAATGATCGGCTGGCATACTTAAATTGACAGTCAATTCTCACCACTCCATTCTCTTTCCCACTAAGAAAACTTGCACGCAACTAAACAACTAGAACAACAAGGTGCCAATATTTCAAACTAATTATGCGTGCTATGTAAAAATGTTAAAAACGCATGATGCGCATTGACACATTGACATTCAAGTTGCATGTAAGTTTCTCTCGCTCCCTACTGAAAACTTAGTTTAGTGATCCCACAATTAACAATGACAATGCTCAAAAGATAACTCAAGCCACCTCAACCGTCACAATGCTCTAAAGAAAATGGGAAAGTGATGCATGAAAATTGCCACTTAACCCCAGTTTTCACTTTCCACCCCAGCAGATAAATTATAAATTTAATCTTGAGATAAAATAAGTCATGAAATAAACCTTGACAAATGTATCATCTGCTATCAACAACTAGCTGAAGCCTAAGAGCAAGCCAAATTTTCAGATATAAACAACCATTTAGCAATCTGGTTTAGGCCCCTATTAACCTAATAACCTTTAAACTTCACAATTTTTTGTTTCTATGTACACAATAGACATGGGAATGCAAACATCAAATGCAATGAGTTATGATGATAAATTAGAGGATAGAGCATTATGGTGTGGCCAGGAATGCCGACGATATTGATGAACTCTATCTGAGATCAATATCGACCAGCTCTGGCTTTCCCCTTTCGGTCTGGTTGGCAACAAGTTCAATGCCTAGTTGCCCTTTGTCTCCGGCCCCAAATGCGTATAGCTTCCCTGATTCGGTTAGTGCGAAAGTGTGGGCGTTCCAGTATATGGAATTGGTGAGACTGATCTGTACAACCCGCTCATTCACTTGCTTCAGCGATGTCACTAGCTCTGGTGCCAACACATTTGCATGCCTATTTCCCTGCAAGAGACGCAACAGAAGAAATAAGATTCAGAGACTTGGTGAACTGGACGACCTTTCATCCTACAAACCGGAGCCAAACAAATAACCAGTCACATAATACAACTTCGCAACAAGAAGTTTGTGAGTTATATCTACGACAAAAACAGTGTCAAATCTCTTCTAGGATGGTGAAGTCATTCTACAGATGTAAGATGATGTGCAGCAATTTGATACCATTTTGAAACAAGTAATTCGTGTTCACTGATTTATGAAGTTCATATATTGACTTTCTGCAATGTAAGTTGAGGGGCACAACCTTACTGCAACTAGGAAACTACCTCAATTACCATATGAAATATGAAATAGAGCGGTAATAAACAAGACCTGTCCATCGGCAGCAGTACTATGTCCAAGACTAGCTGATTCTCCACAACCAAATGAGTACACATCACCGACATCCGAAACCACAAAGGTTGTGTAATCCCCTGTAGCAACGTGCACCGCTTTCACCTGGCTCAATGCTTCCACAACCTTGGGAACTGATTCACATTCTTCATTCCCGTGACCCAAGCAGCCATAACGACCCCAACCCCAGGTGCAGACACGTCCATCCTGCCCCACCACAGCGGCATGCCAAGCTCCGGCAGCAACCACCATCGGCTGAAGGTTCAAAACCTGAAATTGTTCAATAAGTCGGGGGTGCTTCTCATCAGTTCTTGAACCGTGTCCAAGCTTCCCACCCAAGCCACAGCCAACAGAGTAAACTGACCTGAAAGTTTCGTGATCATACAAATGAGCAAATAATAATTTTCATAAAAGATTTAACGCAAAGACTACAATAACAGAAACTGTTTCGGATTTATCAAGGAACAAACATGAATATGTCAAAAAGGAGTAATATCAAATGCTTTAGGAGAAAACAGTTTGAACAGGCTCCCAATAATTTTTTTAATTTTAGTAACATTCTCAAAAATTGTGAACAAGATTCTGGAACAACTCTTTTTGGTTCCGAAAAAGCTGATTGTTCGATATAATCAGAATGCTCAAGGCCATCAAGGCAAACTGATGAAGACAGATAATCCTTACATGCCATTAGGTTGACAAGCCAGAGCAAGAAGGTAGCAGTATCCAGCTGCAATTTGCACCACAGGTACATTCTCAAGTGCCCCCAATAAAGGATGGGGCTCAACATCAGTTGGCTCAGTTTGGTGACCAAGTTTGCCATCGCTGCCCCAAGAAAATGTATACACCCTGCCCTCTCGTGACAACACAGCCGTGAAGAAATTTGCAATTGCAGCTTGTACCACAAATATGTCTTTCAAAGACTCAACCAACTGTGGAGTGGTAACAAGATTTGATCCTTGAACCCCGTACTCAGTTTCGCCAAAAGAGTCCTTTCCAAAGGCATAAACTTTCCCAGCGTCACTGATCAGCATTGTCCTGCCAGCCCCAGTAGTTGCGTGAATAATTCGAATGCCTTGCAGAGATCTGCAACACAACGGAGTTCCATCAACTTTTCGTGTAAATCAACTATTTCTCTTTCCTTTTTCCTGCATTTTACAGAATCAGATCAGAGGAGGAGTCAAGAGTTCGCAACCTGATTGGCCTAGGCCGGCATTCCTCTTCAGTTGTGCCATGTCCGAGCTGTCCTGAGCTGTTTGAGCCAAATGAGTAGACAGTTCCTTTCGAAGTCACAGCAATGCTGTGACCGGGCCCTGCTATTGCCTGTGATTTCTCCCTTCGGAAACATGCCTCTCCAGCCAACAAAAACCTCAGGACAAGTTTCCATGAACCCCCACATCTTTGCTTCAATTCTTGACGCTGTTCGGCTGTCATTGGCTTAAATATAGCTCTTTTTCGGCACATGTCCAGAGCAGCTAGCTCGGATATGGACAATTCAAAGTCAGGAGCAAAGTGCGCAGGATGCCTAAAAAAGGAACATGTTGCCTGCAACACACACACACCCAAATACAAACCAGCAGCATTATAAATCCAAAAACTTAAAACACCACCGCTGCATTACCAAAATGTAGAGAAAAAAGGGTCACTTGCCTCTAACTTTGCAAGGTCTTGAGGATCCAAATTGCAGGCAGTAAGGACATGGAGGACAATGGAGGGGTTTGCAGCTAAAGGGAACTCTCCGGGGGTGGAGGTCCCGGAGCAATGGCGTTGCCGCCTTTCAAATGTTGGTACAGGAGTGGCAACAATAGTGGTAATTGGCTGGTCAGGAATGTTATGGTATTGTATAGTTGGGGTTCCGCTCGCAGTGGCATCCATTTGGCACTGCCAAAGTTCACAGTGGCCAAGCTTTGCAAAGGAGTTCTAAATTGCTGAAATTACGAAATATCGGTACAACAATTACTAAATTACTCCTCTCAATCATCCAACATTACATTAGAATCTAAATTTTCAAACATTCTTGCTAATTTTATTCACCAGATAATCTACGCCGCGGTATCTACCTCGATAATTATGTTATTGATCAACAACTTCAAGTCTCAAAACCTACAAATAAAAAAAAACATACCTATAAAGCATGACAGCAAGTGCAAGAACAAATAATGCAACAAGTTATGTCCTATCAACATGTCATAACATCAAACATCTGCAAAATTCGACAAACCAGAGAAATTCACAGCCCGATCATTTGATCACAGTTCGATCAGACCAGAAACTGAAAATTTTCCGACTTTCCGAATCAAGGGGGTCAACAAAGAAACCCCAAACCTCAAAATAGTAGAGCACACTTGAGGAACACCAAAAGATGGAAACTTTGAGGAGAAGAATACTAGTCTTCCACAAATGGATATTCCCACCGGCAAAAGACAACCAAAAAAAGGAAAGAGTTTTGACATCAAAATACAAAATTTAATCCATGTAAACTCGTTTTTACTGATTCGGGTCAGATTAACCCGATCAAAATAACCCAAGCAAGCAAAACCAACCTCCATATTTTTATACAAATAACAGGGGTTTACAGATAATTGTCCTGTAAAATCAAAACTTTTGACAAACCCAGATCAGAAAATCATCGGAGGAATCAAAAAACCATTTACAAAAACTTGATCAAACATCAAAAGTAATCAAAGAGACAGAATCCAGCAGAAACAGAACACAATCACATGCTCAACAAGCTTTGTCAATTCTACATTATGATCGACCCAGAGATCGAGACCCAACAACTAGGAAACGAAGAATTACATATCGGAGCAACCCACGATTCCTGAAAACCCATCATCTGCATCCGTCAACAAATTTGCAGAGAATTTGACGTTTTTTCTTAAGACAAAAACAGAAAAAAATGGATCAAATGAAAGAGCAGAGAAGTGGGGTTTTGATCAAAAGGCAGAGAGAGTGGGATGGGATATTCCTCAAAGGATTTATAGAGATAAAAGGGAATGGGAATTTTGGTTTTTGTCTATGGGGAAAGAGAGTGGATGAATATATGAACAAATAGTTGAGAGTTTTTTGTGTTATTTTTATTTTTTCAATGGGGGGATTTTGGGAGGTGACTCTCTTCCCTTCTATCTCTCTTATTAGCTTTTGGGTGGTGATGAAGCTTTTCTAGTTACTATATGTTTGTAATATGCCCATTCCTACACGTCAGCTTCTTCCTCTTGACTATGGAGATGGTAACTCCAACTAATTCCTATGGTTTTACGAAAACCAAGGTGAAAACTATCGCAAACAAGATAGGGAGAGATTGTTTTTAGTGTTTCGGTAATACAGCTCGGTACATCTGATATTATATTACAAGTAATTAATTACTTAAAAAAAATAATTTACAATAATTTGTATTATACATCGTATTCTGGTACATTGAAAATTTTCTCTGACTTCTCATAAAGTTTTTTATTTGATTGAAATTATTTTGAAAGTCTAATTGGTTGCTTTAGACACGAATGGTGACAATATAAAATTACTTGGTTCTTGTTTAAGACATTTTGAAATCATATTAGTAGAGGGTACCGTGTGTTTTCTCCCAAGTCCAATATAATTAGGACTGTAATTTTAATCATTTTTAATTCTAATTTAACATTACCACTTCACTAATACATATATAAACGAGATTGTGGTGTTTGTGGTTCAATCGGTTAAGAGTGTTTATATACGTACAGGACAAACAAAAATTCATTTTCCTTCTAATTATCACAACAACACGTATATAACGTCTCACAAATATGTTTTTGAATTGAAATTAAATGTAGAGACACAAAATCCCTGTGAAACATTATGCGGCGATTTAGCATTCTACATTACCGATCTCCCTTCCAATAGTCCAAGAAAACAAAGTAGAAATTAGGCAACTTAGCATTCTACATTATCGATCTCTCTTCCATTAGTCCAAGAAAACAAAGTAGAAATTAGTCGACGGCAGAGGTATATATAATCATAGTAGTTGACAACCTTCAGTCGTCATTGAGGAGTGAGAGCTGTAAGTTGTAAGTAACGGGCCATGGTTTGTGCTTTTTTGGGGGACCAGGTCGAAAAGCTAAACTATTACTAGTTGTGAAAGTTATTCTCCAACACCTGATTTGGCATTGCAAGAATTCTCGATAAAACATGAGGGTAAAGGGTTAGCAATGTCAAACCATCACAAGAGAATAAATTACAGGCCTGTATTCCACACAACAAGTTTTGAATTCAATTCTTGACGAGTCTTACCTGTCCCTCAAAAGGTGGACTGTCGTAATGAAATCACCAATTGATACCCTTAATAAAAAAAAAGGTTTGCAAGGTCCACATTATAAGGTGATCAAATTTGCAGACAATTAGAACGTTAAGATAGTAGTTGATAAGTTAAAGCATCTAATAACATACATTCCGTTACGTTAGTATTTTAGTTGCATGTAGTTTTTCTGTTCAAGGGGATGACTCACAGAATTGAAGTTCATATCTACCATAGCTTGACTTCTACGGTTCCTTGAAGGAATTGAAGCTTGAAGACAATAAGTTGAGAAACCTTTTTCTACCCAATTCGTAGATAAATGGTCCCAATGCATTACTTCTTAGTGCTCATCTACCTAGCACATGACCATCACCTGTGCCTCTAACTTAAATAGTCATAAATTATAAAATTTACGAAAACACCTAACTACTATAAGTTTTGCACAAAATTACTTTAAAAGTTCAATGGGAAAAAAGAAAACATTTTTTTTGGCATAATAATTTATTTGCCCTTAGAAATTGCTATTTAGTCTTATTTTATCTCTTGAAACTAGTTTTGTTTCATTTTGTCCCTTAAAATTGTCATTTTTCGTCTCATTTAATCTCAGTCCAACCCTTTTCGTCCATTCTTTTGGATTGAACGAGCAGCTTGAATTGGATTTTGAATCACAACACATTATTTGTTTTTGCCAACTGCTGCAACTACAATTCTACACCAATTCGCAAGAAAGACAGACGAGGGTTTGAATTAGAGTTATCGAAAATGGAATTGGGATGGTTTTAGCATGCAAGTTGGAGGCAACGAATTGTGCATACTACCCTTTAATTTAACGTTTATTTGACTTAATTGACGAAAATAGGGTGTGAGTCTAAATGAGACGAAAATAGTAGTTTCATGTGGCAAAGTGAGATAAAACCAGTTTTAAAGGATAAAGTGAGACTAAATGGCAGTTTGAGGGGGCAAATAAATTAATAAGCCTTTTTTTTTCCCCCACCTGTTTGTACTCTAATTGACTCTTAATTGTAAAATCTTTTCAACATTATCAACTCAATTTTCTAAGTTATTAGATATGAAATGTTTTTCTTTAAAATGTAATGTTAGAGAGATGTTATTGGCACTCAAAAAAATCATTTACACTCCTCATACGTTTATTTTTACCAAGGACTACTACAGTAGAGGCTGGTATCAATTATCTTCAAAACTGTAAGTCGAAATATGAACATCCATTTAAAGAGGGAAATTTGGAGAAGTAACCATATTTTAGACCCCATATAGAATTATAGCCATCATTTTAATTTTATGATAATTCTAACCAAAACTTGATGTAAAAGTACTAATATACCCTTAATGACAAAGAAGTTCCTCATTGCTCTTAACCATGAAAAAACAACAATTAATTGAGATCTTGAAGCATAAAAGAGGTAGCCTCTTCAATACTACCCAATACACCAACTCTCGAACCCCTCCATTTCCTACACTCTTTTTTTTTTTTTTTAATAAATAAATATATATATATATATATATATATAGATATTCAAATGTAATCAGAGAACGTGAAATTGAAGATAACCTAGTAAACTAAACATAAAAATTAATCAGGAACTAAATCTCCAAAGCAAAATTTGAATCTAAAAATAGAGGAGCAAAAACCCTTTTAAGCTAAAATATGTGTGAGGTTTTTCTGCTAAACTGGTGATTGAAAATATAAAAGCCAATAATGTGATAAATCCCGAATAATATAAAAGCCAATAATGTAATAAATCCCAAATAAAAACATTCACATCATGCGTTGGAATGCAGTCTAATTGGATTCTTGCAAGTTTGGCGATTGTGGCCTGTCCCACCACAACAATTGCACTTCTTCACTATCCTTTCCTCCCCCTGAGATGGATTCTGTTTGTCTTGCGTCTTCCAGATACAACTTGTCTGATTAGAGGTAAAACAACTCTATTCTGTACCTTTTCTGGTACACTCCATTCACTCTTGTTTCCAACCGGCCAAATGGGCTCCGCATACGCTAGCACATTTGCATTGGCTGTGTAGAATTTGGAGCACATAGTGTACACTGATGTATTGCAAATTCGACATGCAGCAGTTGCATGGACACATGGAAGTTGGTCGAGATCAAACCTTCTACGCGTGCATGACTTGGCATTTAGATCAACTATATGACATAAGTCTGCCTCATGTACTTGCAATGCATAATGATTAATGGAAGATACTTGCATAGTTGTTAACCATGTGAAAAAAGAAAAATTAAAAAATGCACACACAATACCTTGAAGAAACACCAATGGGAGAAATTAGGGACTTAAAAACTTATGAGAATACTTCAAATTATGTGCAAATTGCAAATCTTCTAATCTGACAAGTGACAACCAACAACAAGAGACCAATTAATCATAATTATCATATTCTTTTATCAACCTGTTTATTTGTTTGAAATATTTTAACTATGTTTTTGGTTAACAAAATATGTGCATTAACCACATAGATTTGGCTATCATCCAGCTCACTCAACCATGAAATATTACATGTTTCCTGGCCACAATTGATTAAATAAAGAGTTAAGAGATGATTTTAGCTTATAGCTTTTGGCTTTTAGATTTCTATTTAAAACAATAGGTGATTATCGTGATCCTGATAAGAACAAAATGTTGGTCTTATTCGGAAAATTTAGAGAACAAGTTTAGGAAGTTTTTCTTCGGCAGAGGCCTCAACCTTTGACTACGAAGAAGCACTTTTGGAAAAAGAAAAAAAAAATAGAGCTACTATTCTACCTAAATGATAAAATCTTTGTCAACACTACAAATATGGAGGGGTATCGGTTCTTTATTTATTTTTTCTTCGTATGTTCTTGGTATGGACCCTATGTGGATTTAGGTGTCCAGTGTGCATTAGGAATGTGAGAGTCCATAAAAATGTAAACAAATCATACATACCGACATACGCAAGCCTCTATTTTGATTATCGTGTACTTTTTCCTTTGCCCATTTTGTCAAGGTCGAATTCCATGAACTTGTTGTGTTCCAACGTTCGTTGAACCACTCTTGGAGTATACCTCTAAGGTGACCCACTAGAGCAGTGATAGGCAACTTTCGAGCATCCTTCAGTTTTGCATTCATAGATTCGGTAATGTTGGTTGTCATCATGTTGTATTGTTTGCCACTGAAATGTGCCCAATCCCATCTATGATACCCAATTTCTTGAAGATATTTTCCTACTTTTCCATCTTTGATTGCCCAAATATCAGTCATAACACTATTAAACTCTAACACAAGGTATGTTTTTACCGCAGTGTAATATAACTTAAACATCGTTTCATCATCACCAAATTTATTCCTCATGTTGCCAGCTACATGATACATACAAGCTCCATGATATGCCTTTGGAAACACAGTTTGCACAGCTTTACCAAAATTTCCATGTCGATCAAATACAAACACTAAGTCTATTACCTCTCCAATAGCACTTCTCAATTTTGTAAGAAACCATGTCCATGAAGCGTCATTTTCTGAGTCACCCACACCGAATGCCAAATGATGTATTTGATTTTGTCCTTCATGGCATACAGCGACAAATAAGGTGCCAAGATATTTACCCCTTAGAAAAGTCTCATCAACTGCTACCACATGCCTCATAGAACTACGAAATCCCCTTATAGAGGCTCTCATTGCCATGAAAAGGTATAAAAAATGATTATTGTCATCCGTTTCTATATGTGTTACTGTCCTAGGATTTTTACTTTCTAACATGACACAATAGGCAGGAAGTGCGGCAAAAGATTCCTTTGGTGATCCTCGGATCATGTCAAATGCATACTCTCTTGCTCTCCAAGCTTTCTCGTAACTTATATTAACCCCAACATGTGCTTGCATATCCTCAATGATGTCTTTAGGTCTATATACACGTGATTCCCCCTCATACTTTGACTTTATAAATTGACCAACAACATAACTACTTGCTTGCCGATGATCACGCTGAACAACATGTAATGAACAAGAATGATTAGTTTCAAATTTTCTTACTTAAAAAAATTCTGACACTTGTAACTTGGTTGCACGAAGTCATCACTTGCAATTATCATCTACACATCTAATTTCCAAATGATCCTTAGTTGATCTTTCCACTTTAAACTCATAATTCTTCCTCATTGCAATCATAGCTAATTGATTTTGCAACTCTTTCTTACTCGAGTACAATTGTCCAACCATAATATCTCCATCTATATTCAAATCTACAATATTATCATAGTCTTGTATGCTCTTACGTTTGTTACGATGAGACGATGATAAATTGACATTAGCATCGTTAGACTGCACATTATCAAAATGGGTATTGTCATGATAGTCATCAGTAAACTCAAAACTCACATCTATTGAAGTCTCACTAATTTGGGCATTGTCTTGAAAAACTTGACTTGGTTGTTCATCACCCAAAATGTCATCATTCTCTTAAATTGCCACTGTTGGTGATGGGGAACTGCATGCAATTGGGTGTTCATCTTCAGGTTCATTTAGAGGATATGTTGTAACATATAATGGAATCTTGTTTGGTTTTGCAAAAAGACTTTCACATACCCAACTAGTCACATCGTCATTGTCTACAATCTCCATCATATTTTGCATCCCTAAGTTGCTCATGCATTGATAATGTACTGAGATTCTAAATTCACTCGAACTAACACGAAGACATTTATATATACCATGTATAAGATCTTGATGAGTAACCTTGGTTGACACTACCATTGCTTTCACTTGACCATCTGTGTATTGGCTATCAACCCTCCTCCATCCGTAATGGATCACGGTCACAAATTGAGTCAATATTCTAAAGGAAAAAATTAATTAATTAGCACATCTAACTAACCTGCAAATATATTAAAATTAGGAAAAAGTTTTAGAGCAAAATTAGTTAGCACATATAACTAACCTGCTAGGGTTTTGGGTTTCGGGTTTTGGTGGTGAAATGGACACCTCCCTGATATATGGTGGCGATGCCAAAGCCTTAAGAATTCACGCCAAGCAAAAGCTCCCCCTTGATTCCAATCCCCACTTGCAGATCCTCTCTTCTCCTGATTCTCTTCAATTTTTAATCTCTCCCTACTTTTCATTCTTGGTTGATTACTGTTGATTGCCATGATGGTTTAGTTTTTGTTGTGAGAAACCCTAATATTAAGGGTATATTAGTACTTTTACATTAAGTTTTGGTTAGAATTATCATAAAATTAAAATAGTGACTATAATTCGATATAGGGTCTAAAATATGATTAATTTCCCAAATTTCCCATTTAAAGAATAGAAATTAAAATCATAGTAATGAGCTTTGAAGAATGATCCAAACATTTGGGTGCTCTATTTGATTTATGAAATTAAGGGATGATTCAAAAAATCTATATTAAAATAAAATGGTAATCGAATATAATTTTTAATGAATTAAAAATCTTCCCCTTTTTTTTTTTTTACTTTCTCAAAAGTTGTAAAGAGAGGTCTAAATGATCTTCATCGTTCGAAAGCAACATGAGTGGGATCGGTCGATCAATGAGGCAGGTGTTAGAGGGACACAGACGCAATTGAGTTAGCTGTCAAAAATAGAAGGAAACATCAAGACATCGGCCTTCATGATGCTTGCAACTTGTATCAACGACACAAAAACCTTCTTGCATAAAAAAGAAGGCAATCAAGGTACAAATCATAGTTTTTCCTTTTGATCGCCATTAATTAGTGTGCTAATTGTAATTATTAATATTGTCTTTTTCATTACAAGGCCATCATTCTAATTCAAGTACTTTGACAGTCTGTTTGATAACTTTTTCTTTTGTAGTGTTTGGTCCGGAGAGATGAAAAGATGGAGAAGAGTCAATGAAAGATGGTAGAGATGATGTAGAAGAAATGTACAAAGAAATGAACACAAAGTAAAAACTAAAGAAAAAAACCGAATTTAAGTTGTTTTCACTTTTCCCTGTACCAAGTAGGCTTTCTCCTTCAAATCCCATATAACTACTTATCTATGCATCCTTTTCAACATGAGATATGTGTATGTCATTGGAAATCAGTGTGTTTTATTCCACAACCCTTTTTAGCTAGCTTAGTTAACATTTGAAACTGTTGTTGACACCCTAAACAAGTCATTCTACGCACTACTTTATTACAAATAACGCATATTAACTACCTACAACTGTATGTTATAAACTTATCATGTAGCGATGTCCATATATTTAGTAATATATTTCTATAAATAAACTTTAATAAGTCCCAAATAAGAGAAATGCTAATGAGATTCTCAAAATTGGACTCGTTATAGACTCTATGTCACCTTGTGCTTTTTACACCGTGTTTTGTAATGTCAACACAGTAATTAAGTTAAACTTAAAAGATGACGGAAAGTTCTTAAAAAATTCTATTTTTGAAAGAATTCTCTTAACATTCCTTCTCGGATAATATTCCCCAGAGCATATGTTCCAATCGGTTGGAAATCAAGGTCTGCCAAAACCTAAGTAATTGGTCTGATAATCTGAATACAATTTGGTTGATCGATGAGAGTCTTGAATGAAACTGATGCCTGCTTTTGAATCATATTTGGGAACTTCAAAAACAATGGTGATGTCATCTCCATTATCATCGTCCATTTTTAGCAAAGATTGCGATGTCGGCACGAATAGAAAAAGCATGCAGCCATCTGTCGTTTTTGTAAATGTAAAGTAAACTCACCATTGTTTAATTTAATAATTTCATATTTAATTTCATCTCACCCATGTGTTGTATAGCTAGGCTTCCCATGCAGGTAAAAAGTGCTTTTCAGTTGATTGAAAGAATTTTTAATGACAATATTTTTGAAATCTTTAGTAAAAATATAAATAAATTTTGAAAAATTACTTAAAGTACTTCTTGTTCATAATTTGTGTTTCTATAGAAAGCATTTTAAGTGTTTTTAGAACTAAAAATTATTTTCTCTAAAAGTATTTTCAATCATTTTTAAATGCAATTTCAAACAAACTCGTAATATTTTTCTTAGTATTGTTCCATGATTACGTTAGTCGTTAAAGAAGCAAAAAATTGAAAGTATTACTTGAGTGTGGTTAAAGTTGATCCGTCCGGCTAAATTTAAAGGGTTTCGTGTTGTTCTCTGGACGTTTTGTCATGCTAAATACCAAATTACCCAGTCGCATTATTGTTCAATATAAAAACCTTGATTGATCATTGCTTACAATTTAGAGAAATGATAAGAGAATACTTTGAAAGTGGGACTCTTTTTGGAATCTATGTCAGCTTACAATAATGTCAATTCTCGTGTTAATATTATAAATATTGTGCAAAAAGCATAAGGTGGCAGAGAGTTCATAGAGAATATCACTTTTGAAAAAGTCTCCTTAGTATTTCTCCACAGTTTATATTGAAATTTTTTACTTTTAATTGCATCGAGATCTTTGTAATAAAACTGAACACCTGATTATTGATATAAACTATTATGTTGAGACATATCAGTTTGAATAGTAGTAGGTTGTTAGCTTTGCTCTTAAATCTTTAACAAATATACATGAACAGACAAAGTCAAGCTTCATTTCCACACAAACATAAGAGCAAGCTAGCTGTATAGGATGATAATCAATGATTGCATAATTTGGCTTAATATGATCATTAAGCTGTTTTAATTTGACAAAATTAGCTTCCAAAACTTTTGCGACATATATACGGCAGACCAAATGAAAGTGCGTGCCAAGCACTTAATCTGCACTCCGCACTGACAGCCTGACAGCTACCTGCAGATCCTTCGACTGCATGTGCATGCCATGGCTGATAAGAAAAGTTCCACAGTATTTTGCCTGCATGCATGCCGAACCTTGTTTCATGATTTCGACAAGGGATTCATTTGTGTTCTCGACTCACTCATCACTAATTGAGCAGCATTAGTTTGCAACTAATTAGAATGCTGTCGTTAAACTATCAATTAATTGTAGCATGATCTAACACTAACACACTCCCAAGTTCAGGTGAAAAATAATTATCTTTACTCATTTGTTTTGGGTCAATAAATTAACTCCATTCAAATGCCATCAATTATTGTTATTTTGACAAACTAGCATGTGAATTGCACGTAAATTATACTTCAAAATAATATTTATATATTGTTTGTAATCATAGAGTATCTTATATGTTATTTTCTTGGAAGGAGTATGATGTTTTAGTAACTTAATTTAATTGAGATCAGGTCCAGAGGCAGATGGACATTGGGACCTAAATGGTCCGAGGACACTCAAGAGTCCATAAAATATACATATAAATGTCTTTTGATGACTCTCCGAATATTTAGTACGTGTTCCTTTTGGACCTACCAACTATTTGATACATATAATTAAGTAAATAAGTTATTATAAAATAACAACTGAAGGGTAATTCTATAATAATAAAAGAAAATCCGTGGCATAGTAAGACATTAAGAAGTTTAGGTTAGATCTTTTTTAGTATAAGAAGAGAATTAGCTTTAATTTAACAAGTTAAATATTACGGTTTTCTAATTGAAGAAACGTTATTGGAGGTTACCTTCTACACGTAAGCTAAAGCAATAAACACATATATACGTAACTATTGGCTACAGTCTGGGCCTAATACATATGTCTCGAAATACTAAACAAGACGACGAAACCCATTGACGAAGACAATATATCATATCACAAGTTGTATACTACCATGTTACTCTATCAGGTGACTAAACCAGCCACACACAAGAATCTCAATAATTGAAGGAAACAGGGAGACCATAAAAAACCAAGCACGAAACCAGCTGAGAAAATTGGTGTGCAAGACAAATAAACGGGTCGAGATACACAACGAAAGTAACCAACTGAAAATTTTATATCATTTATTGGTAAGTTGTGCGGTGACACAATGAGCAAGAAAGAATATCTAAGACATCATCTGCATAAATTTCCTATCCATTTTCCCTTTCTCACCTAACCAAAAATAATGAAAAATTTGTTTCATGGATCATACATGCCATGCCACTGAGAAGCACAAGGGATTGCAGAGAGCAGCCTTTTATACACACATTCAAAAACTTGTTACAGCTAAAAACCTCAACATCTTCTTGTTGATACTTCTCGTCATCTCGAATACGATGTAATATACACCCCGTTGATTGCTTCTGAATGTTCGGGCTGCTTCCCATTTTCTATTTGGACATATATAACTAGCATTATCAATCTGATCTCACCAATACCATCGCAACAATGCTTACGCTCTGGCTGGTTGGTCACTCCCCTCTCACTTGATGTGTGCTTTCTCCAGAACCTTTTTTATCCGCAATGGTCGTGGAAGTTTGTACTTCAACTGCTTCCTGAAAACCAAGAAAAAATTGGCAGTTGGTAAGTCCAAAATAATTTAAGCATGCATAGATTTAGTTTATTCGAGCCCATTTTCTTTTTCTTAAGTCAAATGATTGTATTATGGACGATAAATTCCAATTAGAAGCCTAAACTAATCCTTCTTGTCTAAATCTTCATTATTATACCCTAGTAACCCTACACATAAACAAACAGAACGCTCAGCGCATATATCAAAGCATAACCAAGATACCTTTACGTCACCTAGACTTCCATTCAACTTCTGCTCATCCCTCTTATCAACCTCTTGTTCAGTAGAAACTTCACTGTTTTCTATCTGAAACGTGGAAACTGTGTTGTGGTCTTCTTTTGTGTCCCGTACAGACCGATCACCATTCAACGTAACTCTAGCATCAAAGGAATTATAAGTTGTGGTCTGAGATTGATGTTCTTCACTCTTTTCACCAACTAATCCAACGTTAACTCCATTTTCATTCTCAAGTAATCTGGCTTCTCCCTCATGTGTCTCATTAGTTATTTGAGTCACTTTTGCTGCAGCCTCTTCAGCTTTCCTCTTTTCTTCTTCTTCTCTTTGTTGTTTCCTTCGTGCTTCTTGCTCCTTTATCATTTTAAATCTGGAATATCACAAAATATTAGGAACATAAACACTATAAGTGCAGCAAAACATAAAGAAATGACAGGATAGACTACTAACCTTTCACCAGGTCGTAGACCCTCTGGCGTCAACTTTTCTTCTTCTCTGGTATCCTTTGGTTTTGGCTTTAATTCAGAGACAGACTTTAGAATTTGGGGTTCATCTTCCTTGATAATGCTATCACTTAATTGACTAATTGGATTTTTTGCACCCCCAAATTTTTGAAGCCATACTGATTGTGCTGTGGTCAGTATGTTATTTGTGAACCTGCACAAACATATATGAAAGATTTTAAATAACATAGGAAAGACTATCACCAAAAGGGAAAGTTTCCAATGTCATTACCATGAAGATTAATGATTCACTAGTTCGGAAAATACAATTAAAAACTGTTATGGTGCTTATAGAACAAAAGGGTTTTACAGAAGCTCACCAATAGAGACTTAGACCAGAAGGCACTGAAAGAGAAAAATAACCAATCATCAAAGGAAGAAACTTGGTAATTGCTTGAGAACTCTTCACATTTGGATCGTTGCTCTGAAGAAAGGATAATACATGAAAAGAATGAGTAATAGTAAATCTGGCTCAAATAAGAAATCCCTGTATCAAGAAGGTCAGACCTAGAAGCACTAGTGATGTTTATCTAACCAGGCTTTGGACCGGGGAAATGAGTTAAATGACTGACCTGTGGCTGTGTTGACTGCATAATTTGAACAGATATGTACTGTGAGATAACCAGCAAAACAGGCAACACAAGATATGCCAAGGTGTCCGACCATCCAAGGGGTGGATGACCATCCTGAAAAATTAAAAGCAACCAAAAGTGAATATGAATTCCACAAGGCGGGTAGTACATAGATATCAAGTAAAGCAAGCATCAGAACCATCAAATTTCATGTCAAAACAAAAATCCAAAAAAGAAAAACTAAAGAGATTTAAAAGTAGAAAACGGGGAAGAAAAAAAAAGAGCAATTTGAGATTTTCGAAAATTATAACAAGCAAAAGTTCATTATTACAAGACTTTTGAGTTTGAACCAAATAGCTGCATTGTAACTTTGTAAGGCTTGTGTAGAATACAAGTTACACAAATTTGCAGTGAGTATCCAATAAATAGAGATGAGGGAGTGTTTTAGCTTGAAGGTGAAGACACTCACTACAAATGGAAAAAGCCAAGAGATTCCACTTCCATTTTGTCGAGCAGCAACGGTTGTAGGACCAGCCAAGGACGGAATCCAGAAGAAGCCTTCTGTAAGGAGCCCCTTAATATAGCAATGTCACACATTTAATTAGAGCTGAGGGAGATTATAAAGCCAAGTTACATAAACAATAGGAGGTTACTAAAAACCAATCAAGACGAATATGAAAAATGGTACCTCATCTGCCACATTTGAAAGAGCTCTATATAACCCTATCCACACTGGGATCGTTGCAAGTGTCGGCAAACATCCTGGCACAAAACACAACGAAAAAGCACGAACAATAAGATACAGAAACAAATTGGAAGATAGAAAACAGAGTTTTGAAATTAAATTATACCTGCCAAAGGGTTTATGCCGGCTAACTTATATAATCGAGCAGTTTCGAGTTGAATTCTCTCCTACAAGTAAAAGACTAAAACTTGAGCTCATAAATATCAAATAATTCAATAATTAATGAAATGGTAAAGATTAAATTAAGTGAAAGAAAGATGGGTATGCATTGCAATTGCACCTGGTCCCCAGCATAGCGTTCTTGCACAGCTTTCACTTGAGGTTGCAAGGACCGCATAGCCATGGCGGACTCCACCTGCTTCTTGCTCAACGGGAAGGTAGCAGCTTTAACAAGAACGGTCAACAGTATGATGGCGAAGCCATAGGAGTACGGAACGTGCACAGCAGAAAGCCCATCTTTCAAAAACTTGAGAACGCTCTCAAGGTAACTGGTAATCCCAGAAAGCCAATCGCTGCTCTGTTTCGAAGTAGTCAAATTCTCCGACGACGACGACACCGCCGCATCGGCCACCGTGTAAAGCAAGCTCTCGGCTTTACCGAACAGCTCCATCAGCACAGCTCCGGCGTCTTCCGGTTCGGGAATCAGACCGGGGCCGGGGCCAAGCCGGGCCACGGCGAGCGAGCCACGGAGGAGGGGCTTGGAGTGGGGGAAGCCGTAGTGGTGGTGGGTTCGCGGGAGGAGTGGGTTCGGGGGCTTGGGAGTTGGGGCGACGACTGGGCTGGGTCGAAACGACAATAAAGTAGCCATCTTTGGAGGGGGATTGGGAATTTGGGATTGGAATTTTGAAAATTTGGAAACCCTAAAAGATTGAGCTGCTGCAGAGAGGAGGTGAGTGTGGGGCAGTTCTTGCTGGACGCGATTCATGCGAATGGGGAATGAACCGGAAAGTCCGGTTCGGCTTTCCATTTTCCAACTTTACGGGACTCTTGTAGGTGTTGAGAATTGACCGAAATGGCAAAACACCTATGCAACGACTTGTCGTTTTGTTTTCACTTATTTGTTGTGAGCTTGTGAGTTTTGGGCTTTGTTAAGTGTGTTGATGGCAGAAGCCCAAGCTAGAAGTTCAAAGGCTTGGCATAGGCCCATGATATTGTTGCTCTGGTGATTCTCTAGCTACAACTTATGACGTGTTTACTTGCATGCAATAGATATTGTAATTATTATTGTTTAAGACTTTTCTAGCGTTTAACCCCCCCAAAAAAAAAAAAAAAAAAAAAAAAAAAAAAAAAGACTTTTCTAGCGTTTTAAACATTTGGCATTAGAATTATTTTGATTCTTGAGTATATGTGCGTTAAACTAACATACACGAACTCAACAAGTATTGGAATTATTTGGCCTCCTCTTCCTATGCCCTATTCCTCATCAGGTATATTGATAGTTGATATTATACTCACTTCTTTTATGCTCTGATTCTGATCATGTATTAGATTGATTGAGGGTAGTTGATTCCATACTCTCCTAACTCATGACTTTTCTTATTTCGATAAGTAAACATGTCGTTGTATATTGATCATAGGCATATAGAACCATGTATGTATCTAGACCATTCTAGAGGCTCATTAGTGACAAAGAACTTAACACAATTATTGTGGTTTAGCCATCAATAAAACCATGTTTTCAAAAAGAGATAAGACGTTGTAGTTGGGGTATTGAATATGAGGTTCTTGTTGCACCAATGACACTCTCTAGATAAGAAAAGAATCCACACACCCCATTTCTATTGGTTCCCATTTCCCTAACTTTGCCCCACATCTATATTTCCCACACTCCCCCTCCAAACCAACCATTGAATCCCATCTGATCTCACTTCCCTCTGCACTGCACACACCTGAAACTTCAAACCAAACCAAACCAAACAATCCCAAGCTCTCCACAGAAAAAACCCTAAACAAATGGCAGCAACCATGGCAACAATGGCAATAATCAACGCAAAGTGCTTGAGCTCCACCACCACCCCCAAAGTCACCACCAAGCTAACCGCAGCAAAACCCACCTCCCTCCTCTCATTTCAAAACCTTCCAAAGGGCCTAAGCCTCTCAAAACCAATTGAACTCCCCAACATGTCCCCTTCCCTAGCCGGCACAGCCATGGCAGGAGCCATCTTCTCGACCCTCAGCGCCTCCGACCCCGCTCTCGCAGCCCAGCAGATCGCCCAAATCGCCGAAGGCGACAACCGTGGCCTCGCCCTCCTGCTGCCTATCATTCCCGCCATAGCTTGGGTTCTGTTTAACATTCTTCAACCGGCACTCAACCAATTCAACCGCATGACAAACAAGAGCGTGATCGTCGGGCTCGGGCTCGGTGGGTTGGCTGCTTCTGGGTTCGTCTTGACCCCCGAGGCGTCCGCTGGAGAATTCGCCATGATTGCGGCTGATGCCTCCGCTGGCGACAATAGGGGGCAGTTGTTGCTGTTTGTGGTGGCTCCGGCGATTCTGTGGGTGCTTTACAACATTCTACAACCGGCTTTGAACCAAATTAACAGGATGAGGTCTTAGGTGTGAGGTGATGAGGGGCTTTTGTGATGGGTGCGATGGCACAATTGTTGATGAACTTGCTTGTAATTGCACCTTGTGTTAATGGCATATTAATATTCTCTCTTTTTTGCATTAGCATCTTTTTTTCTTGAATTCTCTGTGTTCGGGGGATGTTATTATTATCGGTAGGTTTAATCCGTAACTACTGTGGATCATATACATATATATAGGGCCTAGGTCTTCAAAAATTATATGTTTTTATATAGTCTCCTTATTCACTAATGCAGAACGGATTTTGAAGCTTCTGAGCTGGAAGTTCTCTAAATTCCATTCTCGTGAGTTTCCTCTGGGTCATGTTTTTTTGTAATATGTTTGGATAAGGAAATTTAAGAATACTAAGAAATTTTAAAATGATGAAAATTAAAATGACGAGATTTTATTTTCTAGAATTTATGAATTTTCTTATTTGGTTAACCTAAAAAAGAACAATGGAATTGAATACAAAATTTGTTATTTTTAAATTCTCAATCATAGAAATTGAAAAATGATATCTATCCACATGGAATTTAAACTTGGGAATTGGAGGTCCCAAATTCCAAGTTTTTTTTTTTTCCACGCGGAAATTCCAAATTTCTATGTTTATGAATCCAAATAAGAGAATTGGTGCATGTCAATTTATATATTTAGACTTTTACCCAAATTTCAAGTTTATTTTCCTTATCCAAACATAGTGTTAGCGACAGTATTTCAAGTCAATCAAATATCATTATGTCTATTAACTTTTTACATGTGTTTGGGCCAGAAATATTGGATTTGGCCCCAAGGTGGATAATTCTCGGCCCAATGGTAATTCTTATAGGTCATATGATATCCAGATATCTAGCTCATAATGAAATTTGGCCGAGTCCTAATAGAAGTAGATTCTTAAAAGGATTAGGTTGAGAATTGATCTAACCGAGTCCTGATTGAAGTAAAATTGTTATGGATCAAAATAGGTTTTGATAAGATTCAAATTATTCGAAGAATCAAAACTCGTTATTGATAAGATAAGAAATGAATCTAATACATAAGTGGACTAGGTTCATACTCCTAGTTCTAGTCAAAGTTGTCGAAGACTACGGATTGGTTTTTGCCAGATAAATGAATAATATCTAAATACAGGATTACACCGAGGGAGTAGTTTAGTTCTAGTGGGACTCTACTTCGAGATTCTTGGTCATCACGACACTTGCTCCTATAAATAGAAGTGAGTCTGCAACGTGAAAATGACCTCAAACTCAACATACGAATGCCCTGTGCAAAATCTCACTCTACACGAATCTTCTCACATTGTGAGAAATCATCAACTCTCCTAACTAAGTCATCACATCTTTACTGTAGAGTAATAACACAGTGTTGGACAATCGGTGGCATCTACAATTTGGATTAACATCACTGTTCGAGTTCGACTAGTTACTTATCCAAGTTTCTACTAGCAAGGAATATTTGGTTTTCTTGCTAAAAGAGGTCATCTCACTAGCTTCTCGGCGAAGTGAGGTGTTACCAGGTTACTCAGTGTTCGACACATTGAAAGCAGAACCTTTCTATGATTAGTTATTCCCAAGTGCATTCAAAGTTTGGCATTTTGATGATCGACAACATTTACCATCAAGACACTCATTTCTTTAGAGTATCTGTGTCTTACAGTTTGAAATCGATTCGGTGCACCTATATTCTCATGAATATAGTTGAGGCAGTCAAACTTGGTGCAGTCCTGAACTTTGAAGTGATTTAAGTAACATAGCCTTCAAGTTTTAGAACCCAATGCCAAGACGTGTTCCTTTCTCAGCTGAGGTCGCTCGAGTACAGAAGTCAGCAGCGCATTCGGCACCACCACCAAATCTATTCTACATACTCGCCGACCGAGCTTAGTTGCGAGTTGGCATGCCCCCAATCACTAGAAGAACGTAGTTAACTTATTAAGTACTCAGTCTGCACACAACGTAGGCATGATAGTTTTTAATGTTAACAACGTGACAATGCATAATTAGCTTGTGATATCACGACATTGACATCGCAACTGTAAGGAGGTTCTTCCCTACAAATTGGATACCTGCTAGCTAGTAGTCTAGTGAAAGATTAGTGTTAAAGTGTCCTAGATTAATTAAAGTATCAACCGTTCGATATTTTAGCTTCACTAAAAATATGTCAAACCTGATACATCTTGAAGTCTCCCAACTTTCATTAGGAGGAAGGTCAGTCACCAAACCTCTATATTGATATGTGCCCAAACCAATCCCATATCGACTAAAGAATTCGGCCCATGAATTAGTTGGTATGGTTTCAAAATTTAATTTTGAGTATTACTATATTTACCACGTTTTATTTCACGATAGAGATATGATCTATCAATACAAGTACATATGAGATAAGACGTTTTTCTAATGTGGTATACAACATGTGATATATAAAACGTTTTTGTTATTCTTTTGAGGCGTATGTGACACACGAAGAACTTGATTGGTGTTCGTTGTAACTAATCCAGATTGAAGACGTAGGCTTCAACAGCAACAGACGGTCAGAAGTCACGCAATCCATGCAACAATTGGCAATATGCATATCCCAAAAGACAAGGCCAAAGCCAAAACTGTCGAATGCAGCAAATATTGATCGATCGTGAGGACTCCAGAAGAACGCCACTTTGACTCGTGCATGCGCACTTACACACCACTTTTCCCTTTCTGGTTGGTTATACTAAACTAAAACTTATCCCTTCTTTCATTCATCAAAGCTTTATATTAATCCTAATATTCCTTTAATACGTTTACAAATGTAATGAATCTTTCAATAAACTAAAGTTATTACTTTTCATATTAATTAGGAGTAATGCTACACTTACTATATTTTTTATATTACATTTGTACCACCTCTTCAATATATGAATGATTCACTAACACATATAAATTTCATCTCTGTTAAAGAAATGGTACAAATATGATATGAAAAACATAATAAGAGTAACATTTTTTATTAATAAAGTATAATACATAGTTTTGTTGCTCGGGGGACTGAGTGGTAGCCTGGTAGGTCCATTTCACAATTCCTTTCATGATAATCTTCCTTCTCAATTTTCCATTTGAATGCATGCAAATAAGGACATGTTGCATGCACTAGTATTTGTTGAACAACGAAACATATAAATTAAGGTCAGTGATGCTGACCTAAGGTTTTTGTTTTGAAGATTTGTGAGGTCCTATTTGATAAGAGTCTTCAGATTAATCAAAACACGCAGTAAATTAAATTATGAACTTAAACTATTTATGTTATACCTAGTCAAAATCCTAACTTGTTAAATAAAAAATACAAACAAAAAGAAAGAAGACAAGCGTCTGAACCAAAATCCTTCTAGCGGCAAAAAACAAGAAGTGCAAGCGTGAACAACTTCCAGCGGCAGAGCTTCTTCCATGGGTGATAAACTTTTCGCGTCACAAAATCAAAATCCTAGAATCTTCATCCCCGCACACACTTCCTCCCACCATCTATATATCTCTCTCTCTGAGTTTTTTTTTTTTTTTTTTCCAGCCACAAAAGAAACCTTAATTTGACCACAAAGAATCTTTACGCAGAACAAACCATATAAAGGCATCCGTACTCCATCTATTCATTTGGATTTGAATTGTACACCGAAACCCTAGAATTTTGTGGCTATATATAGCAAAGTCCTTTTAGAGAAGCTTGAAAGAGAATTCAAATTTTCCAACAACGGTGCAAAATCCGAGTCATAATGATTTAAGTTTATAAGTTAATCTACCATTAGATTAATTTGAAGGCATTTATTTTGAGGACCTCACAGGTTCTCAAAATGCAGACATTAAGTGAACAACAAATTTACATTATTTTATACATGTCAATTTAATTTAGAATTCAAGCCATTATATATTTGACTCCCTCCTTAATCATGATAGATTAGCACATTTGGGTCTTAGTCTCATCATTTTTCTTTCTATAAAATGTATATTTTTTTATTATTGGAATAAATTTCTTGTTTAGCCGTTTAGATTGTTTAACAGTTTTTGTTTTTGTTCACAACATTAGTTACAATTTACCCTTTTAAAAAGACTAGTTGACCTAGGAAACGAATACGATTGTAGCGAATACATCTCCTTCCTTTTTGTTGTTGTTGGAAACTTGGAAAATAGGAGGAAGAAGACACCAAGATAGAAGAGAACTGACGGAGGTTTTTAGAGAGAGAACCGGATAGAGAGAAAGTAAAGGAAACTGATCAAGCAGAGATAATATAACATGAAGAACAACACTCCGACTTTCAAATACTTGCTCCTCTCTCTCCTCCTCACTCTTCCTATTCTCCTTCTCGTCCTCCGTCTCCAACCCAACAACCTCTACTGGACCACCGCCGCTGCCACACATGATATCACCTTCCCGGCTACACAAGCCGAATCCCAACAGGAAACAGAAACCAACAACACATCCACCAAAGACATCCGAATCCGACCAGGCTACACCTCCTACGAAGCCTACCTCGAGCGGCAGGTCAACAAAACCAACAACCCTAGGCTCCGCCAGTTATGGACCACCCGCGACTGGGACCGCAAAATCCAAGTCTTCTCTCAAGTCTTTCAACAAATGAAGCTCCAGAACCTCCTCAACTACGACTCCAAGGCCCTATGCATAGGGGCCAGAGTCGGCCAGGAGGTTGAGGCCTTAAAGCGAGTCGGGGTGTCCGACTCGATTGGCATCGACCTTGTACCCTTCCCTCCGCTCGTGGTCAAGGGAGACTTCCACAACCAGCCGTTCGGCAAAGACACCTTCGACTTCGAGTTCTCGAACGTATTCGACCACGCGCTGTACCCGCGGAAGTTCGTTGCGGAGATCGAACGGACGTTGAGGCCCCGCGGGGTCTGCGTTTTACACGTGGCGATCGCGCGGCGGACAGATAAGTACTCAGCGAATGATCTGTATAGTGTGAAGCCGTTGGTGGCGATGTTTCGGAGAAGCGAGTTGGTTCATGTCAAGGAGGTTGACGGTTTTGGGGCCAACACGGAGGTGGTTTTTCGGAAACGGCAAAACGGTAGCTCATCCAACGGCCCTGATTGATTGATTGAACCCAATTGTCACTCTCTGCAAA